GAGTAAGAACATGAGTGAGAATTCATGATCATACTCAAACACATGTACTTAAATAGACCGCTGATTTCCACCCTAGAAACAGCAGACTTCGACAGACAGTATTCTAATATACTCGGTTGAACGGTTATCTTTATTCTCCTATTACACCGTCGAAGCTTCCCTTAGCGAGCGTTAACTTGACAGTCTCCGGAAAATGTCACATCTCTCCTATTGTACCCAACAGCATGACTAGTGCCCAAGTGTGAATATGTTACAATGGCAAAAACAAAATCTTAATTCCAAATGCATTCTCCCATGCCCCAGAGACCAAAACAACCCCTCCAAGATCCTCTGGTATGGGCCTAACTACACATCCTGCCCCGCACAGGAACAATCGTCCTCTACAGGAAAGGCAGGAGAGGGAAGAAAACCCTTCAGCATCATTACAACAAAAGAAAGAATAGAATAGGAAACCCCCAAAGTGCCTCTACAGGCGTCTGCGGACATAGAGTCTGTCTGTTGGGCCCACAGTAGGACCCTGGCGAAGCACCAGGACAGAGCCAGCCATCTCAACCCAGGAGGCAGTGCAATACCAGGGCAGGGCAGCCAGTCGTTCAGCTGGGGGCGAGCTGCAAGCAAGGAGGAGGGAAGACAGGCAAGAGATGCCAGCAACCCGTGAGCGAAGGGGGCAGCCAATACTGCCCAAGAGGGAGGGGATAGACCCCAGCCATGAGGAGTCTGGAGGTGAAAAAGGTTGGGTGATGCCTGTAGTGACATCAGACCCAGGAAGGAGTTGTAGGGCCACTGCAACGGTGATAGACTCGGAGATTGAAGAAGCGCCAGACCGTTCTGGTATAGAGGAAGGGAGAGAGGGGTAGGCTGTAGAGACACTATCACCTCAGTGACAATGGGGCCTAAGGGCCAAGGCAGCAGAGCGCCAACCAATCCTGGAGGAGAGAAGAGGAAGAGGACAAGGCAAACAAAGATCCGGCCACACAATAAGGTAGGAGGCTGCACTGGCAACTGGGGTCACAGAGTAGCAAGTGTTTTACTACGTCTCTTATGTAGTCCCTTGTTCTGGGAGAGATAGCATCACTGTAGTAGAAGGGATCCCACCACCTGCTATTTCAATAGCCCAGAGGACCACCAGCCCAACTGACCATCTAGCCATCACCTAGCCACCAAAGCCGACCATGCAGATGCTAAGTGAGGTCTAGCAAAAGCGGGGTAGAAAGGGGAGAGGCCTCATGATGAGACCCCCAGGGTGAGGAGAGGACCTCCATCCAGCAGAAGCAAGATGCCAGATGGAGGAAGGAGTAGAAGAGAAGCCCCGATGGGCAGGAGGATGAAAAGAATCAGCCTGCACCCCCTGGCGGGGGGGTGCCTGGCTAAAAAAAAGTGGCGATAGTTCCTCAGTGTTGAGTCTTTCCCGATTAGGAAATATTTTTCAATGACCAGAGGTGTAGCGGACATGGAGGATGTCTGAAAGCTAAGGATTTTGTTTGTTTTTGTTTGACTCATTTAAATTTTTATTTATGGGACAAAAAGGCATATGGAGCGCTAGCTATGATGCCTAAAAAACTGCCCCCCCCCAGACCAGGCCAAACGACAGAGCTAAAAGAACCCTCTGGGGTAGAAAAAACTACTCCCGCCCGTAATCCTTCCCGTAAACTGCTCCACCTAATAACCCCTACCGCCAAGCGACAAAAGAAAGCTAGCTACCTGACAGTGAACCAAGAACACGCCCCAACCCCAAGAACAAAACGCCTAAAGGCAGAAACCCAAACTGAACCCCTAAGGGCCAACGATCACAACTCAAATCCATCATAGAAACTCCACAGCCATATGACAAGGGCCAGGGGGAGAGAGCCGAAGCCCCAAACGTGAAGGGTATAAGGAAAACCACCCCGAAGGTGGCAACCAAGAAGCGAGGAGAGGAGATGTGTGGCAGGTGTGCCAGCAACCGTGTGTCCTCTGGGACATTCGACAATTGAGGCAGTAAGGTGCCAGCTTGAGAGGAGGTGGCAGTAGGGTGCCAGCCGATCCAACTGTAGAGAGGAGTCCTAAGTATAGCAGGTATTTTACCGCATCTCTCATGTAGTCCCTTGTTCTGGGAGAGATAGCATCACTGTAGTGAAGGGGATCCCACCACCTGCCAGCCAAAAAGGCCCCAAAGGAGAGAGGAGGGGTAGACCCAATTCCGTGAATAACAACTATTGGTAATCGTGTTCGTGTCCAACTAGGCAGCCTCTTAGGGGACTAAGAGAATAGAGAGATCGACCGAAGCCTAATAGCTGTTCTTCCCTACTGCAACTATATTCCCAGCCATCTGTTGAAGGTGGAAAAGGGGGTTGCCAACCATGCTAATGCCTAAGCGAGGCAGGGTAGGAAGAGGAGAAATATTACGAAGACGAAGGACGCCAACCAGGGATGGAACTGAGAGATTCAAGAAATAAATCAAGACCTCAAGGGAGAGAGGAAGCAAGCCCACCTCCTGTAGCTGAGGCTAGATGGAGGGAGATGGGGGGGGAGGAGGTGGTGGTACTGGACGATGAAAGCCACAATAGTAACCATGGTGTTGAGCTTTCAATCGCTGGAGGTGTAGCGGAAATGGAGGATGTCTGAAGGCTAAGAAGGTACCTCGATATTTATATTCCACATCTGGGTAATCACAGACTGCATCTATCTTATACTAAACAATATACCTTCTCCATTTCCTACCTCTTACTATCGTAATGGGAATCTGTTTAACCATGACAAACCTTTTACGTCTTGCTCAGACTACTGTCTCCATATATTGTTTTGTTTCCACGAGGGTTTTCTAAACCTCTCCGGCGAAAACCCATGATCCTTTCATCTTGAAGGTTTAAGCATGAGTGAGTGGTCTTGCTACGAACCAACTCACCATCCTCCTAACTCTAACAGGAGTGATCAGCTCTGTTGAGAGACTTATCAATGCAGTGTTGACTTCTCAACTAGACTACATCAACTTTGAGGACTTTCTGTCACGATCGGACTAGCCAACATCGTGGAAAAGTCCCTCATCCACAGATAGGCCTCTGGTTGGCTCTTATACTGTGCAAGCACTAGACTGGGCCCTGTGCCTCGTCCATATGGACACGTCCTGATAACTCATTGGACTGTTGGTGATTGTGTCCCAACACCTTCTGTCCATTTCTGAGATGGTCAATCTCGCTTAGCTTATAGCTCCATGGTTATCCATCTGATTAACTCCATTCTACTTTTTAGACACAGCCTGAGGCCCCCTCTTATATATCCTGCGAACAGCTTTCGGTCAGATGGATAGCGACAACGTATATAGTATTATGAAGCATGCTTCATTTCAACCAGTTTATACTGACAGGACACCAAATTCCGGTGATACTATTACTGCATGCAGGCCCAACGGTGGGGCCAGAGGGGGGTGTTGGCTGTGGATTTTTCGCGGTTTTCAGGAGGTCTGTGCACAGGGGGAAGTCTGTGTGTTCATATGTGTAATATTAATTCAGTATTCTGAACTTGTGGTTGCCAATACTGCTTAGGAATATATCGAAAATAGGTTGGAAATTCATTGTAGAGCTGGCACCGACTTTCTGCATGTACATCATTGTATGTAAAAAATGATATTAAGGTTGTTTATGATGATATGATTCAATTATGTAGATCCTCCATATTGATTCCTTCTAGGAAGTAAACTGGTTGCTCTCCTGGTAAATGAACTACCAAATACATGACAGTAGGTAGCTCTTCATGAATCTTGTATTCAAAGAGTCTCCAAATTGCCTCTGTAGAACCAATATATCTTCCACTCAAGTATCTCTTAACCTCATCCCTTTCAGACTGTATCCCAACTATTACCTAATCACTTCCTTTATAAATATACCTGTAGATATATTTGATTGCCTGGACTGAGCTGCACACCTCAACATTGATATGAGCCTGATACTTCCATGTCAGATATGGATTATATAGAACCACATATTGATTATCAATAGTAACAGGCAGGCCACAGGAGATACCCTGACCTTGAATATTAAAACTTCTGTCAGAATTGTGTCGACAATACAGTGGATAGCCATTTTCCTGCACTATAGTCTCAGACTGAAATGCCCATGGGTACTGTTTAGTACATGTATATCCTCTACCCTGAGGTTCCTCTTTCATGCAAATGATATTAGTATTACCACCAGCACATATTGTATAAACCATACTAGTATGTATAATATCAGATAACTCCTTGCCCTGAGGAGTACTTTCATCAGGTAGTTCAGCAGATATAATCTGATCAATATTCTCTGCAGTAAGGAAGGTAGGATCGGTTTCCAAAAATACTAATAGATGCATGTGTGGTAATCCTCTCTTCTGATATTCAATTGTCCAGACATCACCAATACATTTTCCAAAGATGTGTCCTTTTTTGATCTCTTCTAATAGTGCCTTCTGCTTCATGGAAAAGACCCGAGAAACCAGATCTGGTCTGTCTGTTGCACATTTTCCTTGAAACAATTCTCATTCAATCTCTTCCTATTTAAAATTTGCTGTAAAGGTGATAAATAATGATGGTCATCCAAGGTGTCTAACTATAGCTATACTGTCTTGAAATATTTGTTGCATAAATCTATCTCCACCTAAATAGCTTGATGGTAATACTACCTTCTTACCAATAGTTGTAAGATCTCTTGCAAGATCATCTCTCTGAAGAATATCAACTAATCCATTATATAGATCTGCTTGTAGGTTAGTCTGATAGTTTTGAATCCATAGTAACTTGCTCTGATCAGTAATTGCCCAAGCATCAACTACCAGTTGTTGAAATAGCTTCTGGCATTGAAATAGTGTTAAGGACTCATTTGATCTGATATGAAGTCTATATCGGTAAATGGCTTGCTGTGGGAGACGTAGCTTCTGTCTGTTTCCATCAGATATAATATGATGTAATATATTATGATACCTTTTCCACTCAATTAAAAGGAGTAGAGTGGGGTTCTACCCGAGCAGTATGATACTGTACGTACACAAAGGTACATATACTATTTTCCAGAATATCTCCTCACCTCCCAATTCCCCGTGACAGTGATATAATAATTACAAGTAAATGATCAGAACGACTATTTACCATCCCCCCCCCTCCCTCGCACTCTCAACCACCCCACACTGACCCTTCCCCAATCCACCCCATCTCTACAGCCGAAACCCCGCGCGCGAATGCTCTAGTGGTATACACAAACTCATGGTAAACAATAGCCTCCACTCTCTTCCCAAACAGCACGCTAGAGGGATGGATCGCAACGGCCTGATTCCCGACGACAGTCCTATAACTCCCGTCCTGGACTAACCTCGCGGTGTTGTGAAGAAAGCCCTTTAGGAAGCATTTCAGGATTCGACTTGCTAGGTCTGGGGTCACCGTCGCTGCTGGGGTGAGCGAGGGGGAGGAAGGTGTGAAGTGGATGGTATATTGCTTTAGTTGTTTACGAACGTCCTAAGATTTTTCCCCAGTTAGCTGGGATCTAGAGGAGGGGGTGTGGGGGGCGTACAAGGAGGTTCTGCATTGCGCGGTGGGAAACAAAATGTTTCTCCGCCCAGGCCTTTTTCTGCGGTTGGGATTCGTATTCACGGACTAGTGTTAAGAGCATAATGTGGTCTCCCTCCCGTCTGTCGAATTCCTTCCGTGCTTCTTCCATTTGCTCACGCTTCTCATCGCCGGTTGGGGTTAGCAAGATATTCTCTACCGACAGCGCGGCGATAATGTCAATAGCTTCATGTAGACAATCCAGCTCAGGCTCCGCCGCCGCTATAAGGACTCTTGCCAGAGCGGGTACTAATGGCAATTTGGCCATTTTACGCCCCAAATCGTTAATCCCCCCCGAATTATCAAGTGCGCCCAGAATACAAAGGTGCCCAAGACCCCTCTCCAGTGCCTCCCTCCCCGGCGAATCCAAGTAATCAAACGCAAGCACATTATCTTGCCCCCGCGCCTTGAGTACAAGTATCGAAGACGCAACATCGCACCTCAAAATCTCCGGTACCGTGGTATCTGCTAACGGTATAAAGTCCCGTTCGGTATACAGCCTATAGCACTTTCCCGGAGCCTCACGGCCAGCACGACCGGCTCGTTGGAGAGCAGAGGACTTGGATATGGGAGTTACAAGCAATGACTCGAGACCGATTCTTGGCCGGTACTGCTTCGTCTTGACTTTGCCACAGTCGACCACGTGACGGACGCCCGGGACTGTAACGGAGGTTTCCGCAATGTTGGTTGAGAGGATGACTTTTCGGGTGTTCTTTTCATGTGCGGGTTGGAAGACTCGCTGTTGGAGGCCAGGGGGGAGGGCAGAGTACAATGGTAGGACGAGGATCTATAGGCCATGTCAGAGAGAGTACTGCCTCACGACGGAAGTGGTAATGTCTCACCTTGGGGACCTTCTTGTCCATGCTCTGGGCGTAGTCCTCGATTTGCTTTTGGAGTGCTTCGATCTCTTCTTGGCCCGTTAGGAATACGAGTATATCCCCTGGGAGGGGCTCTTCATAATGCAATTGAAAGACAGTCCTCAAGGCTGCATCAACATAGTCCAAAACCGGCTCCGGTGTATGATATATCTCCACCGGGAATTGTCGCCCGGGAACTCTGAAAGCAGTGACAGTCCCATCGTACTGCTCATCGTCGGTGTCAAGATCTTCAGAAGAGTTTCCATTACTGCTACCACTCCCTTCTCCTGAACCCTTGCTTTCACCATTTACAAACGGTGGAGAGGAGTCCTTTCTATCACTCATTCGATCATACGGGTTCCCGTTTATCCTTGGAGCGCCCTCACCATTTTCCCTCTTCCTCTTCTTCTTCCTACCTTCGACTTTCTCAATCCCATTCGATAACTTCCCATCATCCACTTTACCACCCCCATTCCCATTGACCTCCACAACATTCTTCTTCCCCCTCCTTCTATCCTCTTTCGCCTTAATAAACGCTAACGCTGCGTCTCTCTCCCTCTCAAAGAACAGCGCTATCTTGTCAACTTCCATCGTTGCACTCATAACAACAACCTTCAGACCCTTCCGCTCCCCATACACCAAACCCCTCAAGAACCCCATAACCAGGTCCGTACCCACGGTCCTCTCATGCGCCTCATCAACGACGACGGCAGAATACCTCTTCAATAATGGATCATGCAACATCTCCTGTAGTAGCATCCCGTCCGTGAGAAATTTAATCCGTGTTTTCTCCGAACTCTTATTGTCGAAGCGAACGCTATACCCGACTTCATCCCCGAGATGGCAACCCACTTCCTGCGCTACCCGCCGAGCAAGGTTTATCGCGGCGACGCGGCGTGGTTGTGTAATTGCTATGCATCCACCGACCATAGCTTCTTTATCCTTTCCATCCCCATTCCCGGAAGCGATGGAAACCCTCCGCCGATCCATCCACTTCTCTTTAATAAGAAATTGCCCAATCTGAGTGCTCTTCCCGCTGCCAGTCTCTCCGAGCATGACTAGTACGTCCTTCTCTCTCAGCGCAGCTCGAATAGAACCCTGGTGCTCCCAGATCGGTAACTTGGCCCTCAGCGGCTTAAGTCTAAGCGCTTGAGCTTTCAATTGCTCTCGATGGGGTTGTATCACCGGCCTCGGAACACCTCCGTCCAGCAATGGAAATTCACCATTACTAGCCTCGATTTTTCGCTTCTTTTTGACGTTTGCTTGCTCTTCATGATGGAGAGCCTCAGCCTTTTTTCCTTCTCTTTGCGACATTGTGGGGGGAGATTGGTGCCGTTGGGTTTCTCGTTGCCGTTTTTTCTTCAGAAATTCCACTTCTCGATCCGGTACGTGCGGTGGGAGACCTTCGGCGGCTCGTTGAGCCGCGCGGAGTCTGTTTTTTTCCTCCCATTCGGCCTTTTTACGCTGCCGCCTTCCCTGTTGCTGGCTTTTCGGCGGTGGGGTGAAAACGTTTGCCGGGATGAGTTTTGTGTTTGTCAGGCCGTCATCGAAGGGGAAGTCTGGCATCTTGCATTGGATGGCGGGAGTGGGTATGCTGTGAGTTTGGATCCGGTATTCGATGCTTTGGTCACAAGTCTGGTGAGAGTCTGTCGTTGTGGAAAGGGTACGATGATACCGGTAGTACCGGTACTGTTGTCTAATTTTTCCTGAAGCGGCTCAATGGTGTGGCGATTTCAGGTGCCACCTGTGGCGCATTTAGCCAACTATGGTAAACATTGTCAGAAATTTACTTGTAAGTACCCCTGCCGATATCACTACACAGGCAGAGCGAAATCACCTATCATACACCAACGATTGTAAGCGTTCTGTATGATACAGTAAATTTATTCCAAACCACCAGGCTAATATTCCCCAAACCCAACACACCAGCGTCCGACCTGCTAGCCGTCCAAAATATTTGGTGCGCGACCAAATCCCCCGATCCATCCATCATATCAAAAATCTAACAAAAACCAAACGGGCGGGAAAAAACCAATGGCACCTAGCCGCACCCGCCATATCATACCTGCCACTTGTCCCACTAACAGAAAACTCTCGAATACCGGTAAGTATCATACGGTATGGCATGGCATTTTAAATTCAATACCAGTCCGTCCTAGGGAGTGGACTCAATGTTAGATCGGAAGAGGGAACAAGAAAAAAAAAACTCACCATACTCACCCCCAGTACCGTATTATAAACGCCCCGAATAAACATTCTTCTCGCCCATCCGGACTTCGCCCTCCAACTGGCGGGGCTCGACCGCCACAAACCCAGCCCATCCCATCCCAAACTTGAAGGGTGAAAATGGTATTCGATGCTACATAATATATTGATACCCCCCCCTCCTTAATAAGGAATATTCTCCCCATTGAACACTACCGGTATCACGGGACTACCCAACGTTAATATATATCATATCCGCCCCCGAAAAACATCCCGACCGGAAAAACTTCCTTAACAGTAATGGAAGGCAAGAATAGTGAATGGGAGAAGGCAAGGTATCCAGATACTACTCCCCGGAGATAAAAGGTGCGATAGTGCATGCCCTCAGCGGTAAAATAGGTACAGTACCATAAATGTGGGGGGGGGGGTCCGGCTTATGCCCGAATAAAAGGTACTCTAGTATGATTCACAAAAAGGTGCTATCGATATGATATATGGTAGCATCGACAAAGGCTGTCTATATGCAGAAGCGCACAAGATGGATGATACTCGCATCCCATGCCGAACGCGAACTTGCAGCTGAAGAACTAACACATAGCTTCCTTCTCTCCTCTTCCGGCATCATGTAATTGGCAGGATACCTTTGTAGGGGGGAGTGTGGATTTGAAATTGGCTGCTATCGCCTGATGGCTAGATCGTGCACCAGGCTCTCCACGAGAAGGTGAGGCCAAGAGACACTACTAATTACCTGGTCTGCATTAATATCGTATCGCGCAACCATAACCTAACCGTGATATGAGAGACAGCCGAGGACCTTGCCAAATAATTCACAATTCATCACTCGAGCTATCAAAAATTTTGACGTGTATGGTATCTGAAGCTCGACCCGCATAATACGGTGTGCTCAACTCCGGCCCCACGACTCGCAGTGAAAAATTCTAGCTATCATATTATGACATGATATGATAATACAGTACTCGATACAAAAGTCAAACTGCCCTAACCAATCTCCGAACCCCCAATGCTCTTAGCAACAGACACCCTCTAACTCAACTCAAACCGTTTTCCCTCATGTACGCATAATCATTACCTACACACACAGCAAATATTTACAACTTACGGGTACCGTATAGAAGCAAGCGCCCCAACTCCGTCCCACTCACAAACACACAAAGAGGCAGAAGAACTACTAGTCATCCTCATCCTCCAATCCAGCGGTCAATCCGCCCACAAGTCCCTGCATCCTCCTACCAACCAGATCCACCTCGCTGCCGAGACTTGCGTTACTCCCGAGCCTCCGGCCCCTCCGTCCCGAAGGCGCTCCCCGGCCCCCGCTTCCCCTGGCATTTCCACTAACAATAGACATCTCCAACGGTCTGTCCTCGTCATTGCTAGTCATGCTCTCACCCGTGAAACTTCTCGTGTGATTCCTCCATCCACCAGCACCGGAGGAGCCGGCGCCGACGGAAGGTGGCTCGTCGTCGCCGGAGCCGTCGCACGGCCGGTCGGCGAGTATCTCGCTGAGCCATCGTGCACACTTGTTAATCTCCCTCCGAGCCCCGGGGTACAGGGCTGACATTTGCAGGAAGCCGTGACTGATGCTTGGAATTAGGCTAACTTCTACGCCTTCGTCCGGACGCGACCTGCCTGGCTCGAGTCCTAGGTCCCGGCGGTGCCTCCAAACGGCCTTCTTTGCTTGCCTGATGCGGCCGGCGAAGATTACGGTATCGTCGACGAGGGGGTCTCGTTCGCCAGTTAGAAAGTAAGTCTTCGGGAACCTTGCTAAGAGATCTTCCGGGGCGACGATGGGTGAGAGGAAGAAGTCTGTGGCGAAATCTGGTCGGTTGTGCGGTCCAATGTACAGGATCACCATTGCACGCATCATCTCTGGCGTGAGCAGACGGTCATTAAAGTACGAGAGACGAGAAGTCACGGCGAGTCTGGTAGACAGTGGCTGGGGCTTGCCGTTGGTGGTCGCGGTCACAGTTTTACCCACCGTGTTGCCATTACTCTTGAAGGATCCGTTCATGACCGTTGGCTCGCTATCGCTCTCCTCATAATCGTCCTCGTCGCTCCTGTGCGGACGGACGATGCCAGAGGCATGCTCAAAGTACTCGCTCTTACGCTTAACAACGTTGCGATTCGTTTTCCGCATGTCCCTCTGGCGTATCAATTTCATTTGATCGTCATTCATCCAAGAACCGATATTCAAATCCAGTGATGGATACACCAGGACCAAGCCGTCCGGTAACGGTAATCCCCTACATCCTTGCTCCATCAGATGCCCTGTTGAGCTCGTGCTTGTGGAATTCAAGATCATAAGCGTCACACCGGCAGCATAATTTCCTCCGGCCGAATCTCCACTGAGAGCGATCCTGGGAAGAGTCTCCCCCGACAATCCCACACACTTTCCCTTGGTGTAAGCAATGCTGTGGTAAACATCGTAGCATTCATTGAGCGCGTACGGATATGGGAACTCTGGAGCACGTTTATAATCCACGGCAACAATCGGGATGCCCGGGCATTTCCGCGCCCAAGCGAGAAGCATGTCATCGTAATGTCGAGGCGACATGGCAACGAAGCCACCCCCGGGAAAGCTGAGGATCATCTTGGTGCAATGTTTCAGCTCTTCTCTGGTCCCTTCAAAATATAGCCAAGCATCGACCGGAGTCGTGTAAACTGATTCCTTCGGTCGAGAAATCCGAATATGCCGGGGACCGAAGCGATTCGAAGCCGGGCTCACCAATGCGGTGAGCGCCCTCAGATACGGAGTCTGGGATTTGTTCCAGGAAACGCGTAAATGATCGACCGTGATGGTTGCGCGGACCCTCCGAACCTGTTTGCACCGACCGTCAACCCTGACCGCACCGACACTTCCGGGGGAGAGGGGGAAACCACCATACCTTCTCGTCCGCCCTCTCGGCCGCCACCAAATAATACAAACTGAAGACCACGCTGCAAAAATCCCTCAACCAACCAGTCTTGATCCGCATAGCAGTCCAAAATCCCGCATCCAGGGCCGTCATAACCCATGTCGCACGAAAGTAACTCCGAGAGTACAAATTGGCAAGCGGCTCCGGACTCTCGAGATTAAGGATCTTAGCGAAATTTCGTGCGAGATAGAGGTACAATAATGTCAAGGTGACAGTCTGAAACGATGTCAAACGTTTGGTGAAGAAGCGGGAGATCCGACGAATGAAGAGCACGGGTGGGCCGTGCGGGTTACCCTGGAGAAGGTACGTGCTCCAGAAGAGGATTACGGAGATAACCTGTACCTTGCGAAAGCGCCGCGAAGGGCGGCCGAGGATGTGATCTGTGTGCACCCATGAGGTATCAGCGTCCGTTTTCTGTGAAGAGTTTCGACTTTTTTTTTTTTTCTCCCTCCTCGTAGGGGCTAAAGCAAAAGGTGGCTGGTACCGATCATCGCCAAACACAGGTATATATAAACCGAGAAATACGGGTCACGAACTAAAGTGAATGCACCCCAGTGGTACTCCTGTGCCAGTAATTATGCGAAAAAGTGTGAAAGGACAAAATAAGCAGCAGAAGAAGGAAAGAACGGACGAGAAGGAATATGGTAGTGCACGTTGTCGGAGATGGGGTGGAAGGAGGAAGAGTGTGAAAAGTGAGTACCGTGGGGTACCATATGCATGTGTGCCGGTGGGTATGTAGAACACGGTAGCCCACGGTATGCAATCCGGCAATAGTCTGGTCCGCAGCGGTACTGTATCACACCTGTACCGGTACTGCACCGGTGCAGTGCTCCAGGGAACTGGATAGGGGAGCCAGGAGCATGGTGCGGTACGGGCGGGGTGCGCTTCCTTGTCTCACATGCACCATACCTGTACCGGTGGTGAGGAGGCGGGGCCGCGCCGACTGACACCATTAAATTACTCGTGTACCGTAGACCACCTCTCGACCAACGCATTGGAAGCTCATGGTCCTGGCTTCGAAAATGCCCGTATCGTACGATACTTCATGTGTGTGTGGGGTGGGGATTCAGACTTCACACCTTCCTAACCCTCAAGCCCATCGGCTCCCAAGGCCCAGAAAGGCATTTGCAATTAGATAAAGAACTGATATAATGGGGTCCAAACTCCCCACAGCCCAGACACCGAGGGGGGAAAGCACCGGTACCAGTACAGTACAGTACAGTACAGCAATCGTACTGAGGGGTCGAGGGGGAATTCTCTGATTATCCGTGAAACGTCAAAAAACTCTTTCCTAGCATGTGATAATTCCGTTGCCCTTTTCTGCCCGCTGTCGTCATGAACAGACGGCTTTCCCTGCGTCTTCGGATCATCCCCCCCCCCCCCATCACATGTCAGCAAATGGTGAGCCCCGTTATGCCAAGACCATCCCTTTATCCAACCAACATCGGGCTGAAATGGATGGGATGTGCTTCTGACTGCCTCTTGTGGGCCGCTTCTTCCTGGAGTACGGGTACGGTAGTCTACCCTACCCTACCGTGCTCGTACTGTAACGCGCTCGTACGGGTGTGGTACCGGTGAGTAGAGAACTCTTCCCGCCATGGTACTGTACTTGTGCTCGTGGTCTACCGCGCTCGAGTACGAGTATCCCCTGGGGCACATCATCGATATGCACGATAAATCGGGAATGAACGAACCAAGGAAATGCCAACTCTAATCCCCGGACGTGGGAATCTATAGAAACTGTACTGTACTTGTGCCGGTACCGTAAGACAATGCACGGGTAGTACCGCGAACGAAATGGGGCTCTACAGTACGGTATCGGCATCACCTTTCAGACACACGAGTTACACACGCACACTAGCTCGTTGTTAGTCTAGAGTAGCTTCCGTAGAGTGAAATATCCGCTCGACTCCTCACTCCTCTGCCCAGTGGTGCGGGGCTGCCGGCATCGTGGGCCAATCGTTTACAATCGGGATTATTGATTAGTCCCCGAGTGATATTTTATGCTGGTGTCCGAAAGTGGTACTTTAGATCCCTCTTTGGGGTGCTCTGGGATCCTTTTTTTTGATCCACGCTCTGGCATGCAGTACCCGAGTACTGGTACTTTGTGCCGTGGCGGGCGTAAATTTATTGACAAAGGAACAGGGCACTTCAAGTGCCAATAACACTACGAGTCAAGATAACAGGGCTGTGCTGTCACTGGCTGATGCTATTTCCAAGACTTTTGCTTGGTCACTTTGTATCTCCGGCATTTCTCTACCAGTACCCGTAAGACCTCATGCAATCCACTATCTCTGTTTGCCCCCTAACCTCCAGATTCTAAGTTAAAATCTCACATGAAGGATTAACGTTTTCTTAACATGGTGTAAGATGGGCGCACTACCGGTAGACGCGTTGGATCTCGTTAACTGGTATTCGCAATTCTGTTAACCGGTCAACCCAAACCTATCGCAGGCATTCAGGTTGATTCACGCCGATAATCTGATAGTGGATTTCATGAGTTCTTACGGTACTTGTACGTTGGGCTCCAATGGCGGGACCCCCCACACAATCAACAGAACAAGAACGTAAATGCAATAGTAATCGGAATCCTTTATTTTGGATTAATCATGGACCGATTTTAAGCTAATGCTAGCAAGTATTCTAAGTCCTACCCCAATTTCTAGAAAACCCTTCTGGTGCCAGACGCCATTAAACAAAAAGAGAAAACAAAATCCCCTTCCAACCCCCATTAACCCCACCAGCCCTGGCCACTGTCAGGCACAGTTTTTGCTTGGTGCTCAAGCTTCAACTCTAGTTTGAGCTGGGTTATAGAATTTTGTATTGTTTTGACGAACCTCTCCTCCATCTCGGCCTGCGTTTTGGTGAGCCTCGCCTCCGTCTCGGCCTGCCTTTTCATGCCCTTTTCCTCAATGTGGTGGTCGTAGAAGACGAGTTTCAATAAAATCTGGTCAATCTGTTTAGCCTAAGGTCATGTAGACCGTGTAAGCCCTCGGCGAGGTGTGGCATGGCTTGGGCTACTACAGTCTCCAATGGGCCATGACGAATATGAGGCCATACAGGGGTATTTGGCAGGCAAAAAAAAAGTGCAACTGTCAAAGTAGGGTAATAAAAAATCCCTGTTCGTCACGACCTGGTATTCATCATGGCCCACATTGGAGACTGCAATAGTTAACGGCAGGGGTTGTTTCTGCCAAGACCCGTGATGCCTGGCTGAGGGCTCACACAGTTTAGCAAAAATCGACTGCCAGTGATGACGTACCCCAATGCCAAAAGTCCCCATAACCCATCTGACCAATGTTTGACCTTCTTTGATGGAGTCTTTTAATGGTTTAATGCTCTTTTCCAAGCGCTTGTGCAATCGGTCCTCAAGCATAATGAATCGATCGTCTATGATGGTGTTGGGTGCAGTGTTCGCAACGGGGCAGTCCGTCCGGTCATTTTCTCAACATACCCGACAGGTAGGAATGAAGGACCAGGACGGACTGCATTGTGTCGTCCCGTCCGGTCTTTTCCTAAACTTGCCCGACACATAAGAGTAAAGGACCATCCACCGACAGTTCCCTGCCGTCACCCACAGTCACCCACCGTCCCCTGCCGTCCCTTAAACCCCTAGCCCTCCCCCACCGTCCCCCACCGTCCCCCACCGTCCCCCACCGTCCCCCACCGTCCCCCACCGTCCCCTACGATCCCCAGTGGTCCTATGTAGTTACCTGCCGTCCCCTACCAGAAGTTGTCTCAGATCGTGGGGCTCATCGTCCTTCCTCATGACGGCCGTCCTAGGAGTTCAAGGACGAGGACGGACTATATGTTGCCGTCCCGTCCCGTCCCGTCCCGGGCTCTTGGCAGTCCCTCCGTCGGGCCCTACGGGGGCCCCGGACGGTTGAGAACACTGGTTGGGTCGCTGGAAGATGATTAGAATATTGCAAACTTGAAAGATTGGTTTCATAATAGTAACCATTACCGTTTTAGGCTTCGGGGTCTCATCGGTCGGGTCTTGTACACCGGAGACATTCTCATTGGTTGAGGACTATTGTTTAACAACAATGTAAGTACTCACACATTACTCAACAAACACAATTGATTTTGTACTTACTTGTGAGGAAAATGGTTGAAACGTACGGGTAGGGTGAACGAAACTCAAGTCATGGAGATGAAGAGGTCTGCGGTGAAGGACACAGTGTTTGTAGGAAAGTGTCAAACGGGTAATGCGGGAAGCCAACATTTTTGCAAGTCTGTGTGCCCGCGAGTGATAATATATGAGCCCTTCAGCTACTTAGTGGGGGGAACACGGGAACAAATGTCACATGCGAGAGCTCAGATTGCGGCGCTGCCGAACGAATCACAATAATTTTCCCAACCTTTTTTAAGCTACATGCATACAATTTCTCAGAGCACAGCGTCTAATGCTTCCACAACCTCACGGCCTAAATTTTGTTAGCGGGCAGGGGAGGAGGCCGGACGTGCTGGGGAGCATCCAAATACCTTGTCCTTTCCACCACTGCCAACCTTTTTTCCGTCGGGGCTCCAATCGACAGCGAATACTTCGTCTTGATGGCCAGGTAAATCCGTGTGCAGTTTACCTGTCTTGACATCCCACACTTTCAACGTCGTATCCTTCGAACATGACACCAAGAGACGGGAATCAGCGGAGAAAGAGCTTTGATCGAGTTAGCGTCGATGTTCAGGATTGGCATCCGTTCGCGCCATAACTCACCACTGATACACAGGAGCTACGTGACCACGAAGGGTATTAATGAATCTTGGGGATGCCCCGGTTAGCGCGAAATTGATGTCGTATAGGGAGGAAAAAACAAACTTTCCGTCACGGCCATCCCACAGTTTGACATGATTGTCGAACGATGCCGAGGCAATGAGTCTGCCATCTGGTGAGAAGGACACATGATTCACGAGTTTCTGATGTCCTAATAATCTAGCGATAGGTTTTGTTCCCTTCTTTGGCTCCCAGAGATACATGGTGAAATCGTCGCTCGCTGTCACCAGACGCTCCACAGCCTCTCCTCCAAATGTAGCTGCTTTCTCAAATCTTTCTTTGGCCTTGTTCACCTTTCCCTCGTCCGTGGCCGGCGCTTTTCCGGTATGTTCATGATATGCAGTCCTCAGGACGAAATCCGTCGATAACGCCAGATGGTTGACCCAGTGGGCATGGGCGTTCAAATTGTGTAGCAATTTTCCATCTTTGGAATCCCAAACTTTGATTGTCTTATCCTGAGATGCGGAATAGATGAACCCGATGCCACCCCATTTGACACATGTAACAGCGGCAGAATGAGCGCTCATAGTTAACTCTACTCTTCTCAGCGTAGCGTTCCATATCCTGATGGTCTGATCTTTTGACGAAGAAACGAATCTGTAAACATCGGGGTTTTGTAAATGATATGGTTCCCAGGAAAGGCCTGTGATCCATTTTGTATGACCCTTCATAGCATCCCCGAGCGCCTTTCCGGCTTTGGAATCCCATAGGCGGATGGTATTATCCATACTACCTGTGGCAATGTATTTTGCATCGGGGCTCCAGCTAACACATAGCACCCAGCTCTTGTGTCCCTTCAGGGTGTGCATGGGTGTTTCGGTGTCGCAATCCCATACTCTCGCGGTACCATCCCCGCTGCCTGTGGCCATTCTCGATGAGGAAGCAGGTGAGAATTGAGCGGTCAATATTGCGTCTCCATGACCGGAGATTGCGGAGGAACATCTGGAGACAGCTCGCACCCGGAATACCGCTTGGGGGGTGTATACGAGGGTGAGTACGTCTTCGGTGGTTTTATGTCCAGGCTTTAAGACAGAAGTCCATAAATCGTTGGTGATATCGATTACAGTGGAATCGGGGTTTGTGCTATCGGTGAGGAGAGAGAAGGTATATGGTACTCGGTCATCCTCCTACACTGGATTAGTAAATGGTCCTGAGAACACACAAGGAGGGGCCATACTGTTCGGAGAAGCTTGTTAACTAGAAGGTCTAATTGTTGCGCTGTGGAGTTCCCGGGAATGTGTAGCTCTCCCGCGAGCTTGTCACCAGTATCGGAGGCTCGTAAATGAACGACGACATTTGGGACTGATTCAGGGATAAGTTCAATATCCTGCTGTTCTCGTGTTCGCTTTGTATCTGCAAGCTTCTGTCGTTTACTCTTTGGTGGGGGCACAGTAGCCATCCTGGAGGGATATCAAAAATAATGCGAAATTTAATGGTAGTGGGGCTGGTTAATTGAAGGGGAGGACAGCGAAAATAATAGTGAAAAGTTGGATCACGTGACGCAGAGCCTCATGCTTTGGACTCCAACCCCTGTCCTTCTCGGAACTTTACCGTAAACAATGGGTCCAGTCCGAGCTTCAAGCTAGTGACTGTGTTATGATCCAACGTTTTCTACTGTACAAGTACGTCCTGTGAGAGCGACGAGTTCCGTTGTCACCTGCACGCCGCTGGTCGACGCTGAGTAGTTCAGACTTTTGGACCTCGACATCGCGATAATCTGATTCGAGCCTGCACATGGACGTTCCATCCTCGACCTCCAAGGTCACGGTAACGTACACTCCCGAGATTGAAGTCATTTATACCCGAAACCGTCATCTGACCTAGTTGCACAGCTACTGGGACCCCTCCGGGCTTTTCCCGCTCATTCAGTCAGACCTGCGCTCCCGTTTACCCCTTCGCAACCTTCACTGGAAAGCTCCAGCACGACCGCTACGTTCCATAAATTCCCTCCATGTTGAACTAACTCCTTACCTCTCGCCTGCTAGCCAAGCCTCCGGGCTCGCTGGGGTGGGTCTTACTAGGGTTAAGAGCACTGATTCCCAGCGGTCGATCGAGACGGTCCGAGGGACTAAGAGCGCCGGACATCAGAAGGAGCGAAGGCACCAGATTCCCGGATTACGGAATACCCCCTATCTAAAGGTTTTCCTGCTACGGTGTGATGATAATGATAGCTACAAGAACGCAGCTAGGAGGGCGCTACGGGAGTGGGTCTCGGAGTATACGACCAGTGCGTCGAATGAGAACAAACAACATGATGCTTTCGAATGGCTAATCATCCATGTGGTTCTCCCTGGAACTCCGGCAGCGCAACAGCCTAGGTCATCCTCTTCTGCTTCAAATGCTTCTGGGAGCTCGCGGTGGATGAAAGGGAACACGACTTTGCTGGACAAGATTCGCAGTGATTTCAATTCCGGGAATAACAAAAAGGATAGGGTTGTTCAGATACGCATTGGCCCTAGTCATCCGGCATTGGCTACCCTGAGTCCCCCGGTTCTAGTTGGGAACCAAATCGTGCCTGCCACGGAAAGTCCCACGGAGAGTGAGATGGCGTGGTTGGAACTCATTGCCAAATTCAAGACTCAGATATTGGCTAGTTTTGATGCAAGAGTCAGCCAGTATGAGGAGGATATTAAGGAGAAGGATAGACAGCGGAGGCTGCCGGGGTGGAACTTTTGCACGTTTTTCGTCCTTAAGGAAGGCCTTGCAAGGGCATTTGAATCCGTCGGGCTTGTTGAAGATGCTTTGGTTCTCTACGATGAATTGGGTTTTGGATTGGATGCTGCTGTTCGGGGCCAACGAGATAAAGAGAAAATCGAGGGGGATCCCGAAGGTCTGGTTGGAGGAAACTTTGTTGGTTGGACAAAAGAGAGCATTAAGTGGATTGAACAAGCGAGGAGGCGACGGAAGGCTCGATTGGAAGGAAGGGAGGGTGAAGAGCAGGAAGATGTAGATGACGAGACACCCGTGGGCTCCGAAAAGAAACCTTATCGAGAACTGATTCTGTCGAACGAAATATCCCTATTTGACTTTAAGGCATATCTATTTGCACGGCAATCTACACTATTACTTCGCCTAGGGAAGGGCAACGGGATGGATGGTGTGGAGGTACCGATACCTACTGGTGCGAGCGGATATTCTTTACATGAGGCAGCAGCAGTAGCAGCAGGAAAGCCCGAAGAGGATCTCACTAGATTGTCTGAAGTTCTTAAGCGTGGGGTGGAATTCGTCACGAGTGTGGGTCGTATCCTAAGGGCGGATCTTTGGACTTCTTACCATTCTTCGACTGAAGGTGAAAGGGACAAAGAGCAGGAGGAAAAGGATGTCACCTGGATCATTGATAACATCGTATCTTCTTGGGTCTTTGCTGTTTGTCAACAGCTACTCAAGCAAACTGCATCCGCATCGCTCCCCGAGGCTCCCAACACCTCCAACCCTGTTACAACCGCACGTTCAGGTCCGTTTCCGAAAAGAAGTAGCAGTCTTCCACCAACTCCGAACCCAGAAACCACTAGCTTCACACAAACCATTCAGACATCTGTCACAGGGCTGGAGGACTTTGCTGCACTAAGGGCAGACTTGATGCTACTGGCCAGGGGGATTGTCGAGACCTTTGGAAAGCAGCAGGGATGGGTAGGGAAAATGGGGTGGTTTTATCTTCCCGAAGAACACGTTAAGGATGTGGGCATGGTGGAAGTTGGTTTAGAAGGTGAAGGTGATAAGGAGGCTGCTGAAAAGAAGGAAGAGCTTTGGGGTGTTGAAGGAATTCGAAATGCAACTTTGAGAAGAGTTGTTGAGAAAGAGGAAGAGGAGGAGTTTTATACAATTTTCGAGGAATTAAGTGAGAAGGCTATGAAGAACTATAATATTGCCAAAAGGACCAAGAGTTGCGAGCGGGTTGAGGCTGACTTGGCTGCACTAAGCTTGTAAGGGTTCCTGTCACCGACTGTGAATACAAATGATGACTAACGTATTGACGTGATCAAAGCCATCTAAAAGATTACGCCTCCTCCGTCAAGCACCTTGAGAAAATGACAAAGTTCTACGCCGACCAAGGGTGGGGCTTGATTGAGACAACGCTTTTGGGAATGTACGCCAAGTGCTTGAAAGAGATGAACAGATCAGAGGATTATATTAAAGTGCTTTTGAAGCTGCTTGCGAAAAGTTCCGCAGCAGAAAGAGTCCGTCTACGCCGAAGAGGTGTAACGGCGCTTGACGATGACGACAAACCTGCGCCGGTTGACACCTTGCTCGATACTCAACATCTTGAGGAAGAAGTGGGCGTGGATGGCTGTATTGAAAGGATCGTCACTTTGTCAGTGGATATTGGAGAGGAGATCACAACACCAATGTCTCATTTCTGGGACAACATCTCTGTCAACCCGTATCCGAGGCATATAGATGATAGGGATGGTTTCGAGGTCCTGGTCAAGATGCGCTACCTTCTTGAGGAAGAAATGGAGGTTCAAAAGCTTAGGGTCAGGATCGTCAATACCATCGGGCAGGTGAAGGAAGTATGGATGGACACTCTAGAGCCAGTCACCATGAAGAGGGGCGTTGTCAAGGCTTTCGCAAGAAGCAACATAACGATTCCCGGAAGCTATATTGTGGACAAAATCATCTTGATAGCCAACAAGCTTCACTTTGTTCACGAACTTATAACAAAATCCGCTCCGAATACTGCTCTCGGATTAGGATCCACGCCAGTTGCTACAGTGCCCACGGTCAAGAAGATGAAGCTGTCGTTCTACCCAGCGCCTAGGAGTTTAGTGGTTAGACTGGAGGTACCAAAGTGGATACACCTAGAACATATGAAAGCAATCGAACTTGTGCTTGATCCCGGTAAGAACGATGTAACTACGGGTGAGATTCGGCTTCGATCAGCAACTGCTGGGTTAAGGCTTGTGACGGCAAGTGCGAGATTCCTCGAAGGATCGGATTTTGCTTCTACGGGAGATAAGCCTGGAGTTTTTACCCTCAAGGATTTAACCCCGGAGAAGAAAGTGCGATTCAGAATACCGTATACTAGCGAAAACGAGTTGACGGAATTAGCTATCAAGGTGGAAGTTGACTACGATACTAATAACGGAAGCTTCTTTTACGCTGATGGGTTGAGTGTTCCTGTAGTCTTACCCCTCGCTGTCAATGTCCAGGATGTGTTCAAGCCAAATGCGTTGTTTTCCAGATTTCAGGTATCAACGGCTATTCCCGATATCCCCTTGCGGATTTTGAAGGCGAGCTTGGAGGGTTCAAGGACTTTTGGGGCTTGTAGCGGCATCGGGACTGAGGGATCTATGGTATCGTCCCTACTGCGAATATTTCGGGGTGTGTGCTAAATACTTGGCAGGTGGTTTTTTCCAAACAGCCGGCTTCATTTGTGTACAAAATCACCCGGAAAACAGGAGACGGCGTGCCCAAAGACAAGGAACCACAGCCTCTAGCGCTGACAATTGAATATAGAAGCCTTGATGATGGTATTTTCTGTTAGCCGTGGCCATATGATCTACCCAAACTCTGCTAACACCCAACAGAGGTCCAAGACTTGGCCGTGGCGGCCTTTAGTTCCCAACTTAAGGAGGCTGGACTTGACCTTTACACCCGCTGGCTAGTGCCCGTGCTGATCACCAGACTACGCCGTAGAACGGCGCACGACTTGGAAGCTGTAGGACTACTAAATGAAGTAAGATTAGGCAAATATGACAATCATAACTGGGCTGAAGCTCTGGAATCAATCAACCCCGCCAATGGCGCACGGGAAAGGGTCGAAACCTGGCTTAAGGGATTCTACGAGGTACTCCCCACAAGCCATCATTCCATGGAAACGCTCATCAGCCTAACCTCATAGAAAAACTCCATAATAAAACTCGGCCCCGGAACCTCTCCCGCAAATCCCGTCCTAACCACTCGCTCGATAACAATCCCTGTCGATGTACCCCAGCTACAAGTAATCCACACAGTAGACATCCGTATCCTCTCCGATACCGACTCCGCCACTCTCTCCTCCCCATACGCGCCGCCAATGGTAACTGTTGGGCAAGCTATTCCCGCGGAGCTAACAATCCGCCACTCCCGCAGCTGGAACTCCTTAGATGCCAAAAATGGCGAAGTTGAGATCGGCGACGACGACGAGCTAGAATTCTTTTATGAGATCCAACATTCCCTCGAGGTATGGTTGGTGTCGGGCAGGAAGAGAGCACACTTCTCGGCGAAGGAAGAGCAGATCCATAAATTTCCAATTTTGCTGGTCCCGTTGAAGGCGGGGAATTTGTTATTGCCGAATGTAGAGGTCAAGCAGGTTCTCCCGATAGAGCATGGGGGAGAGGGCGCTAGCTGTGAGACGGATTACAGAAGCAATGGGGAGAGCGTGCTGGTTTTGCCGGATGTTAGGAGTACCACCGTTAGGATCGACTCGCCGTTTGGGGAGGACGGGTTCACGAGTCCGGCCTCTGTGATGTAGAGGAGGGGAAGGAGTTTTAGTACATGCATTAAATAGATGTGATGTTGGCATGATACCTACGAATTGGAAATTTCTTTTTACTGGAACTTTTCTGTCGGTTAGTCGCGATTTTTGTCCGCGTATGGGGTCAATTAGAGATTGGGATGCTTTCAGGTAATTGCGAGGTTTACTCCCATGCTTAGGTCTACTGTGAAAATTTCCTTAATATCATACACCGTGCACTATGATATGTCCCTCCTCCAAGCCTATCACGTTCCTCGGGTGATTACTGGTCCCAGGGAGACTCGAGCCCGGGTCTTTGGAAGGCCCAATTGCCCCGGGACCGAGCCATTGTTCCTCGTTATGCACCGTATGTTTGTCCTATCCACGATACGATATAGTATCTGGCAAATTTGTTACCACGTCAGAAGGTGAAATGGTTTTGGAGTTTGAGAAATAATACTCGCGGTTCTCCGAGGGTATTTGTTTGGGTAGTTGTCCGTAAATTCAGATTGTTTTCGGACCGGGAGTGCCTTACCGTATGACAGCTGTGATTGATCTTGTTCACGGGTTAAGTTAAGCGGTGCTGTGCTTGTGGGGTCCCTAACACCACCGATCACCTTGATAAACGTCAATCACTCGCTCACTATTTTCTACTTTTTTTCCCCCGGGATTTGTGGGGAGTTTACGGTGTGTTGATATAGGGGACTTGTAGATCACTACGAGTGGTCGATGCCCATGTTACTGTAAATTCTATTCGACAGCATTGTGCTGTCGATACAGTACGTACTAGTATCATACAGTGGGGCGTCAAAGAACTCTGGCTGGTGGTGGCTTGCCACTTGGACATAATGCAGTTTGGGCGCATATACCCGATGGGTGGAGTCTAGTGTTTAGTACAAATAAATTATTTAAAACCCCCTCATAATGTATCGGCAGTTTTTGCTGGAAAGTACCACATTGCATGGGCTGAAACCGAAACATGCTCGGGCGTGTCAATCTTTCCGGTGGGCGCTTCCGTTAGCTTTGGTGGGGGGCCACCGAGAGATAGAGAGAGCTCTGTCAGGTCTAGCCCTGGTCTTTTCGTGCTCTCTCGGGCATTGCGCATTATCACGCGCCCCCCGCACAGTTTTCTACTGCACGGGATTGGGAACCTTAACAATGTTTAACTGACATACCAGCACTAGTGGACCTCAAGGCATTTAAACACGGTACACGGTGTGCGCTAGCCTTCTACTTTTTACGCTATGGAGTAAGGAATTGAGAGCTATCATAACTCAAGGAGCTCTAGGGAATACAGTAGGGAGGGGTTAAGAGAATATCGCTCGGATATAAGTTGAGCAAGGGCGGTCTCTAAGAAACCACCAAGCGACAGGCGCGCCAGAACACCTCAATTACGGTAGGAAATCGGCAACTCTGATACGTTTGGCTTTCCAATCAGTATGCCAAGCGCAGGTTAGACACTGCTTACCGCCCTGTGTAACCGGGGAAAGCAGACTTCCGGATGTTGAAGTGGAAGCGAGGGGGCACGATTAGATTTATTTCCCCTCGTTTAATTCCGCCTGTTATCATAACCGGGTTGACTTATAGTATCATATATCTCCACCCTCTCCTCAGCCCTCACCCTTATCCATCACTACAATCCGATTTTCCTGCGGCCTGAGTTCTTGCTCAGATTCGATGCGGTGGAATGTGGGCTAGCTTGCAGGGCTTCTTCTCACAGTGCGAGCCCCCTTTTAAAGGTCTACCATAACTCTCGAGGAATATAACTGACCCGTGATCTGACAGAAATACCCAGAGCTTCGTCTCAGGAAACTACAGCGGAAACGTGAACAGCAACAACCACACCGTTAATCATTATTATTATGGGTCCAGTGGAAGCAATTCCAAAGGTAGACGCGATGCTATTATTGCACTAGCTGGTGATCTTGAACCTAACGTTTTACAGAGCCCGAATTTCACTGGATGGTCGCCTATAGCCGCAACGACACATTCACGGGGCGTAAGGATATAATTGCACATCTGAAGGAGCTGTTAGAAGATCGGAATTACAGCCGTGTTGCTTTGTACGGATTAGGTGGTGCTGGGTCTGTCTGCTTCCCGATTCCTCTCTAAACCTGGTATTGTAACTATTGTGTACTTTGCTAACATCCTGTGGGTTAGTAAAACCCAAATCGCGCTCGAGTACGTTCACCAGTGCAAAGGTCTGAGCCATGTGTTCTGGGTGCATGGAAGTAGCTTTCTGAAATTCGGCGAAGATTACCGACGAATTTTTCAAACTGTGGGAATATCCCATGGGGGCCCCGAACCGAGTGAGAATGAACAACTGTCGGAAGTCAAAAAGTGGTTCGAGTCACCGGCCAGTGGGAGCTGGATCATGATTCTTGACAACGCCGATAACGAGGCGGATTTCTCAGGCAATAAGAGCCCTGTATCGAGATTCGTACCACAGAGTTCCAGCGGAAAGATCGTTATTACGACACGATCGAGGGTGGTCGCCAGCCGCCAAGGTTGCAATGTTGTTGAAGTGGGGAAGATGCCGGCTGAGGAAGCTAGGGAACTCTTCTTTCAGCGATTTGGCAGCACCGTTAGATTGCAGGATCATGACTTCGAGGCTGTTGATATGTTGCTTGATGCCCTAGATCAACTTCCCTTAGCCATAGCTGGTGCGTCAGCTTTCATGACCGAGACACAGACACTTCCATCTGAGTACTGGAGAATTTTCCAGGAGAGTGATAAGCGGCGGAAAGCGCTACTCTCGGAACAGTTTTGCGATATTCGTCGGGAGGTAGACATGACGGAGAGCATTCTGAGCACTTACTTTATCACCTTCGAGCGGATAAAAGAGCAAAACCCGAAGGGAGCTGATCTTCTCCGGTTAATCGCGTTCTTTGATCGTCACAAAATACCGGAAGAATTATTCCTTAAATCCGGCTTAGAGGGAATGGATCACCCGATTGAATTCCGCAGGGCGATCGGAACACTTTTGAGCTTCTCACTTGTCACCCAAGCGGAGGACACGCCAGTGTATGAACTCCATAGATTGGTGCAGCACTCTATTCAAGTATACCTATCTCAGGAGGAGGTGTGCAAATGGAGGAGAATAGGATTGATGGTGGTATCAAGACTATTTCCTCACTATGAACACAACGTGCGTCATATATGTGCTACTTACCTTCCTCATGCACTCGCCATAGTTAAGAACTCGGATGATCCCTTGGCTAGTCCTGTTCGCTATCGTGTGTCGATGTATCTCTGTGATGTTGGTTATTACAGTGAAGCGGAGATTCAAATTCGGCGGTGCATTCAACTTGAAGCCGACGCGGACGAAAAGGACCCTGGGTCGCTAGCAAGATACGGTCTTCTTGCTGCGGTGTTGCAAGCAAGGGGTAGATACGAGGAAGCCGAAAAAATCGGCCGGCATGTCCTTGAAGGGAGAGAGAACGCACTTGGGCCGGATCACATTGATACCCTCGCGAGCGTTAGTTCCCTTGCTCTGGTCTTAGGGCTATTGGGAAAACACGTCGAAGCAGAGAGATTGAATAGGCGCGCCCTCGAAGGTAGACAAAAAATATTGGGCCCTAGAAATGTTGACACACTCGCTAGTCTCAGCAACCTATCCCTTGTATTGCGGGATTTGGGGAGGTATGATGAGGCAGAGAGTCTGAGCCGGCGTGCGCTCGAAGGCAGAGAGGAAGCACTTGGACCCGAGCACCCCGATACCCTGAACAGCCTCAGTGTTCTGGTTTGGATTTTGGACGTTCTAGGAAAATATGACGAAGGGGAAAGGACGAACCAACGCGCATTAGATGCTAGACAGAGGGTCTTGGGACCGGGACACCCCGACACACTTTCTAGTCTCCATCGCCACGGGTTCGTGTTACGGAGGCTCGGGAAGTACGCAGAAGCGGAAAAGTTCTATCGAAACGCACTTGAAGGACGAGAAAAGAAGCTGGGGCCGGAGCACCCCGATACCTTATCCAGTGTTGATGACTGGGCCATGGTCTTGTTAGATTTGGGGAAATACGCCGAAGCAGAACAATCTGCGCGACGTGCACTCGAGGGGTATCGGAAGTTACGGGGCCCAGACCACCCATCCACTTTCATGGCTATGGGTAATCTAGGTTCGGTACTGCAGAAATTGGGAAGGTACGACGAAGCAGAGACGATGCTTAGGATGGCGGTTGGAGGGAGTGAGAAAGTCCTAGGTCCGGAGAGTATGGTGACGCTGCTAAGCGCTAATAACCTAGCTCTACTCCTTCACCATCTTGGATGTTTTGAGGAATCAGAGAAACTTCAGAGACGTGTGTTTGAAAACAGAGAGAAGACGTTCGGCCCAATGAACGCGGCTACTCTAAGCAGCCTCAAAAATCTGGCTTCGGTATTGCGTGACCAAGGAAAAAACAAGGAAACCGAGGAGATGCTTCTAAGAGCGTTAAAATGCTGTACGGAATTGTATGGGGAGGAGCACATAGAGGCCTTGACGTGTGCCGAGGACCTGGCGTTGTTTTTATATTTCCGCCAAGGGTATCAAGAAGCAGAGAACATGCAGAAGCGTGTATTGGAAGGAAGAAAGAAGAAGGTTGGGTTGGATCACCCTAATACACTCATCAGTGCCAACAACCTAGCCGCAATCCTTGCGGATTTGGGTAGGTATGAGGAGGCAGAGAAATTGTGCCGTTGGGCATTTGAAGGTAGCGAGAGGGTGCTAGGATTGGCTCATCCGCAGACCTTGAGAAATTTGAAAAATTTAGCTTCGCTGCTGCAGCGTGCGGAAGAGTCTGGTGAGGCAGTGGGACTACCCCAGCATCCGCAAGATTTTGAAGGTCATGTGATCTAGGTGCTACGTTTTTTGTAGATTTGGGACCTATGCCCATATTTATTTCTCTATCCTGTCGTTTCTACCAAGAGAAAGGGCAGCGACTTTGCCATATGGTCTAAACGTACACTTTTGTCTTCAAGCACAGTGCAATATAGATTGAGATTGGAAGTTACCTTCTATGTTATGATAGGGGGTGTTTTTTTTTCCTTTGTTATTAGGGCTTTTTAGGCTATGCTTGAGGGCGCTTGCCATGATTTTTCCCATGTCATAGCAGAGGTTGCAAATGAAGTCTCGGATTTAACAAAAATAAAATAAAATCACAAAATTTCTCAGCCCATCCTTACTCTGGCTCTTGCAGAGTTGTGAAGTATGAGGAGGGACAGAGTACCGTAGGAACTCGAATACTTGTTTTGGCCCCCCTGTCCAAGAGAGGGAATTTTGGACGTCTTAGCGCGAGTGCCAATTATTCGAGTTCTCACGGGTACTTCATAGACTCCGGCATGTGTATTTCTATCCCGGGGTTAACGCTATCGCTGCATGTAGAGACTCAAAAATCCCCTCTAGCCCGTGAGTTTTCCCAATGCTAATGCCATCATATTCTTATCGCGCGGTGGAGAACCAGACATCTGTGGGGCAGGTGAAGTTTGCAGACATGAAGCGTAGCCCTAACAGGCTGAATTCAATTTGCATGATAGTCTAGTACTAGTACAATGCTTGAGCACAAAATCATCGAGTCCTTGTATCTGGGGGGATGAGTACAGTACCGGTGCTTGAGCATGATATCTGAAAAAAGCTATTGTTACACAGCCATCCGATGAAGGAAAAAACCCTGTCGTATCTCTAAACGCTCTATGCCAGATGCATGCCAGTGTACCGTAGCACAATTACAGTATCATACCATATCACGCTCCCCTTCTGCCCCCGTTTTCTGGGGACCGCACTCAAGCTGAATTACGAACTAACCCCACAGCCCACTCCACTCCTGATCTTGTCGTCACTCTTCCCCTTACACTCAACAGTCAATATTGTGTTGTTGTAACAGCACCAGCAGAGTGGGCGCCCGACGGAGCTACTAACTTTAACGCCCATCCGGGTACCAGCACGGCGGCTGTAGGTTTGCGGTACAGCACAGTGCCTACCGGTTATCAGGCGCCAGCTGCCAGCCTCACTATGTATTTAAGATTGAGCATGCCACGAACCTACAACCAGGGACACTAAGCACCCGACCCCCAAGTCATATTGCTCTGTGACGACTACTCTCACGCCTATATCCTCCTGTATAGGGTTAAAGCTCCCCGGACCTAGAATTCGGCTTGATGGATGCAGAATACACTCGGTAGGTAAAATTCTTACCCCCCCCCCCCCCACTGGTGCCTCGGATACCCACTGGAGTTCTAGCTGCGGGCTTAATCACTTGTGGTTCGGCATGTCGATAATACTGGAAAATACCCTCCCCTGTGCCTTACAAAACATTATTAGGCAGGCAGGGATGTGTATTTTTTTTACCGGTTTTATCGACATCGCCGAGTACGAAGCAACGATTCTTAAGGCGAATGGGAATTAATCGTATCTACAGGTCCGAACAACTTTGGAAGGGAAATATCCGCATGTTAGGAGAGTACGGCGGTCACTCTTGTCCTGATGTATTGCATGTTGGCCATTTTAGAGCTAGCTCCCCCAAGGGTGCACATGGTACGCCCAACCGAAAATTGAGGAGGAAGACAGGATCTAAATAACGATATCGTGCTAGCGACACCCCCGGCAGATTGGACGTACTCTCACCACGAGGTCCAGACGCTCATCCCCCATGGAAAAGGGATCATCGAGCTCATACGATCGGATCCCGAGAAAGCAATAGCAGAGCTTAAAGCTAATAATTTTGACGGGATAGCCTTTTATGGAGCATCTGGCATCCGGTATGTTTTGCATAGACTAAACCCGATCCCACCCCGAAACCATCGCATCGCTGCGTCTATGACCTCGCCCGGGGACAGCTGATTCATAGCCCTTTCCCCCAGAAAAACACAAACAGCCGTCCAGTTTATGCAGGCATGCTGCCAGCATATCTACAACATATTCTGGGCAGATGCAAGTACTCTTACTACCATAACAACACATTTCCAGTACACCTCAGATCTCCTGGAAATTGATGCTAGGTGTGATACAAGCCCCCACACCAGATTAGCCAACCAGATGCGTAACGGCGCACAAGTAGCCCCAGGATCCACCAACAAACGGTTCTCAACCCACGACAATCTCACCGATAAAACTGCCTCCACGAAAGACACCGGAAGCAGCATGGAAAACGGCACCAGCAGCAGCCGAGAAAATCTGCCCCCAACTATAAGATCCAAACTCGAATCACCCTCCACAGGAAATTGGCTTTTAGTCCTCGACAACCTCACAGAGGAAGCAGCCATCGCAAAGTCCCTCCCCAAGACCCCAAATGGCACGATAATCGTTACGACAAGGTCTCTCCAGCTAGTTTCCAGGCTAGACTGTCGGGCTGTCGGAGCGCGGAGAATGAGTCCTGGTAGTGCGGCGTTACTGTTCGAGATAAACTACCTCAATCCAGAAGGGTCAGAGATGAAGCAGGACGAAGCCATGGAGCTGGTGGAGTTTCTGGAGTATTTGCCCGCCAAAATTGCGGATGCGGCGCTAGACATGAGTAAAAACCGTGTTTCGGTGCGGGAGTATCTGGCCGAACTGAAGGCGGTGAGGAGACTCTTGGAGAGCAGCAGGCCTTGGAGGTGCTCCAGGCCTGATTGGATTTACGGGTGCTGGAACGGGGCGGCACCAGCGGTGGCTTGGGGTTGCTTTGTAATTTTTTCAATTTTGTCCGCGTGGGCAATCGGTTTTAGAAGAGGATGACTTTTTGTTGTACTCTACGTACGATATCATACGTCGTGGATAGCTCATTACGGATCTTTTTTATATATCTCATCAGCTATAAGCTCCTCTCTGCGGAGGGCGGTGGACTGTCAAGCTTTACGATAATACCCTCATTAACACCCGTACCCGTACCCAGTATATTCTAGAGATACGGCACCTCGGAATTCCCTGATCGTATCATAGTTTCCTAGACTAGAAACACAGAAGCAAATGCCCAAATTGTGTCCAAAGAGGTACGCCCGACTTCACACGATGTCTATAGAAATCCCGAGGGGAATTTGTCTTTGTTGCTCTCCGTTTCACGATTGCCTCTTCTACTACAGCCCTAAGTGGCAGCTTATATAAATACACAGAGTATTACACGTCCCACCACCACCCAAAACTTCTAACGTCTAACACTTCAATGGTTCCCTCACCATTGGTATTGGGCGGATTCAAAGTCAATATTTTCATCAGTCCCCTGAACAAATTGGAGGACCTCATAGTATATGGTAATCGTCGAGGGCTAAGGGGAAAATCGAGTCCCCGACGCAAGCTCGTTTGAAGCGGTGATTTCCGGGATAGAACGTTTCCCTGTTCCCACCCGAGTCGAACGTTAGCTTCTTGTTCGAAATGTGTATGTAGGAGAGAGAATCATATAAATGAGCTGAATAGTCCTTGCCCCAATTGATACTCTTTTGAAGGGGGGCTTCCTATCCCCAAAAACCCGTATCAAAAATTAACCAGACATAATGTTGTGCTCGTATCATACCCCGGCTTATGCACAGGTACGGCCGTGCGGATAGGCATAGGCAGGAGAGCACTAATAATCCCGTTCAGGGAATTGTGTCTGTAGGTGACCGCGGGAGGGCAGATACACCACCATCGTCGTGGGACGAAGTTGTTAGAATCCCCTAGTGTCTTAACCTAGGTTGTTGGTACAGTACTGATCGAGGGGGGGTCTCAAGGAGCAGAAACTTCCTTAACCGGGCAAATCCCCCCAACTCAGCCGCTCACGCAACTCACGCTTCTTGCCCGCAGTTTATCCAAACATTCTGCCCCCACTTGCATATTCTCATCGTTTCGAAAATAACAAGTTATGCAAATTTGAGTTCCTAGTGTTTCCCGCAGCTCACCGTCGTCGCGTCTTGACCTCCCTCACAAGGTCCCTCAGAATAAATCCGCTAGCTGAGCCTATCAATACTGAGAATTCCCTAAACCTTACAATGCCTGCACTGTACTGTACAACGCCGATGAATGGGGCAGATACCTATAGGTTCCAGAAATCTATAGCTATCATATCATAAAACACTCTAAGATCCTTTCTAAAATAAAATAAAACCCCCTCACAGAAAAAAGATCCACGTATCTCCACTCTACGTCCTTCTCCATGGCTACCACGTGCCTGGAGAGGGGGCGGAACAAATAAGGATACGACGCCTGACTCTCTGTATGATATCAGGCAACACGCCACCCCTCCACCTCCGTCCCTTCTGTTAGCATGGGGTTCCCCCTTACTCTCCCCGCGGGGAATTCACACCTATCCGTGAGGAGAATTGAAGCTGGGGATCTGGCAAGAGTAAGTCCCCCGGAACCATAAAGCTATAACTGTAGAGTATAGTATTATATGATACCGGCGCTACGTATTGCGTCGTCCTTGGAATTGTGTTCCTGGTTGGGCGGGGTGAAATGAAAGCCGGGGTTAGATAGACTGAACCGTTAGGCGTGAATACGTTAAGGTAATGCAATTTCTAATGAGGCATCGCGCCCTGGGGGGTTGGGGGAGGAGGTAACGAACGAGAGAAGATAATTCACTAACATTGACCCACGGATCGCTAAGCGCAAGATCTCTTGGCTCCCGAAGACGCAATCACAATTGAAATATCAGTAACAGGGGAAAGCTGCCAGAGGAGAGGAGAGGATCCAAGTGGCCAGTTACCATGTACGTCCAAAGAACTTCAGGCGGCGTGCAATAATGATTGTATAGCGCAGACACCACAATATACTTGACTTGATAATCCAGTCCAAGGCATTCTGTCCGACTTCAAGGTCGGGGGGCACAAGTGGTAAATGCACAACTTAAGGATAAGTACTCCAAATAGTACCCATTGATAGCATGATCCCAACAGCAAGATATGGGGGAGCAAGTGCAGTGAGGTAGAGAGATGTATGGAGATGCATGTAGGTGGTGGAGAGGGCCGAGAGTGTGAGCCCTTATTTGGTGATATGATGTTTTTGTTTGTTTGTTTTTAGGATGAACAGCCCTCTGTAGGAATGGCTGTCATCCTTGCACTTTGTATTTAGTCTTCTTTCGGTGCTTCGGGGAGAAGACACGAACGACTCCTCTCACTTCACCTTCGGTTCCATCCGCATCGTGATTTCTCACCTCCGCTGCGCATAGCCTCGCCATCACCCATGGCCTATGGTAATCCTTCTTAGGTCACTGGGCCTACGAGTAACCTCCAGTCCAGGAGTCACAAGTAATAGATTTACAGGCTAGTAAGAATCTCGAGTGATATATGGTGAGTAATGTCTCAATATTTCGAACCACAATATCAATCTAGAAGGATATCCATTCCGGGCTCACATGAATGAATAATGCAAGCTACAAAAACCCCAGCATTGACTTCATCCAATCGACCGCGGCCTCAACCCCCTCCTGCTTCAAAGCACTAATAGGTATCAACCCGATATTCTCCCCATCCCCTCTCTTCTCCTCCGTCTCCAAATACCCGCGCAATGCCACAAACTTCCCTTCGGTATTCGGCAGGTCAGCCTTATTAGCAATGACAAACCACCGCTTCGAAGCCATTCGTGGAGCCTCTTCTTTAGGTTTCTGACTAAACACGAAGCCAGTCTCCGGTTCAAAATACTCAAAGGTCCCATCCTCTTCGTTGAAACGTATGTGCGTGGTGGTGGGAGCGCGTCTACGCCCGGGCCGATAGATCTCGGCCATGGGCTCAATGAAGCGGTCTTCGGAGTGCGTTTCGCCGCTCATTTCACTCATCATCCCGCGTACTGTTGACTCGCCCTCGTCACCAGCGAAGCCTTGTTCGTAGGCTTTAATCTCCCGCCAGAGGCCTTTCAAGTCCTCGACTGGGTCTTCCCTAGAAAGGTCGATGACGAAGCAGAGGGCTTTCGCACGCTCAATGTGTCTGAGGAAGCCATGTCCCAAGCCCCTATTCAAGTGGGCGTCAGCGATTAGCCCAGGGATGTCAGCGATTGTGAACCTCGGTAGGCGTTTCTGCGTCTCTCCCGGCCTGGGTGGTGGAAGGTAGCGCTCCTCCATTACGATTGTTCCAATGTTTGGCGCTAAGGTTGTGAACGCCCATTCTCCCACTCTAGCTTTCCGTCTAGAGACCGCCCGTAAGAAGGAGGACTTTCCGGAGTTGGGTAATCCAACGAGCCCAATATCCGCGAGAATTTTCAGCTCCAGTTGGATCTTCATTTGAATCCCCTTCCCACCCTTCGTCGCGAACTTCGGCCGCCGCCGGCCATCCGTTACGAAGTTCGGATTCCCAAGCCCCCCCGGAGCTCCAGGCACGAGCAATATGGGTTTTATTGTTGGCTTTGAAAGGTCCAAATACACCTTCCGCGGATGGGTGATTCCCAGCATCGTTGAGGCCCCTAAGTGGTGAACCTTCGGATACTTTGTTGCCATAAAGTCCTCACTCATAGTATTCTCAGCAGCGCTACGTGGGTAATGAACCCATCTGTCGTGGCGGCCGTGCCGTTTAGATTCATTTTCCACATCCTCATCCTGTGGTTCCTCCAATTCCTCCTCTGTTGGGTCCCAGCGAGAGATTTCCCGGACGACTGTGCCAACGGGGACCCGAATAATGACGTCGTCCCCTCGTTTCCCGTTGATAGAGCTGCCCTTTCCGTTTCTTCCTGGCTTTGCTCGAACGGCACCCTCTCGGGAGAGCTTGTGAAGTGATGTCTCGCCGAAGACGGCTTGCACGTATATCGAGCCTCCGCTGCCACCATTCCCACCGTTCGCGGGGCCGTATGGGACGAACTTCTCTCGCAGGAATGAAACACAGCCGTTACCGCCAGAACCAGCAATCAGAGTCAACTCTTGCTTGTCCGCAAATGGAGAGGTGGAGTATTCTGCATGGGGATGCTGGGGCTCCTGGACCGGTACCGGTTCTACACCCTCTTCTACCAATCGATGCTGTGCCGAATTGATATCGTTTTTTGAGTCTGGCTGTTCCGTGGGGGTCGACAGGGCACGACGCCGGGGAAGTGATAGGGCGAGAGTGAGAGGTCGTGTCGCAACACCAGGGGCCAGGAATGGATATAAGAACGGTGTCCATGTATTTATCTGAGCGACCCAGATTCTGGAGTTCCGTGGTGGGCCTCGTGGAAGCCGCAGCGGCATTTTTTTTCTTTTCTAATTTCTGAATTTTTTGTGGGTTGGAATTTCGAAGTCTATGATGCTATTGGAGGGTTGAGGTTGCACCAATTTTCTGAAGACAGACCAAAGCCGGGTAGCCTCATCGACAATGGGCTCGCTTAGAATGAGCCATGATGTTCATGTTACCCGGCATTCGCGTTTCTATAGAATTTCTTTGCTCGTCATTTCTGAGCTTCTTGTCCTTGATCTAGATTAGGTGTCTTTCGTTCAGCGGTTCCACAATTCTCACTGCCCTCGACAGACCTTAAGCTCTACAATACTATTCAAGGACCGCACATTTCTAAGCCGTTGAACATGTCCGGCGCTCGCCATTGGGAGCAAGACAAGGAGGCGACAGTCTATATCGGAAACCTGGACGAGCGAGTATCAGATGCACTAGTATGGGAGCTCATGCTGCAGGCTGGTCGAATAGTTCGTATCTCCTTTCACTCTACTTTGAAATTCTAACAAATCTCTTTAGGTTAATGTCCACTTGCCGAAAGACCGCGTAACGCAAACACACCAAGGATTCGGCTTCGTCGAGTTCATCTCAGAGGAAGACGCAGAATATGCAGCGCGGATAATGAACCAAGTCCGTTTATACGGAAAACCTATTCGAGTTAATAAGGCCTCAGCGGACAAACAGAAAACTGTTGAGGTTGGCGCAGAGTTATTTGTGGGGAATTTGGATCCGATGGTGGATGAAAAAACGCTGTTTGATACATTCAGTACCTTTGGGAACCTAGTCTCTGCTCCAAAGGTGCGCTTTGCGGATCTGCCCACGTACTGTGCGACAGGATTTCTAACGACCGTATAGATTGCCCGCGATGACCAAGGAATCTCCAAAGGATTCGGTTTCATATCCTACGACTCCTTCGAAGCATCCGACAAAGCCATAGAATCCATGCACAATCAATTCCTCATGAACAAAGAGATCAACGTCCAGTACGCCTACAAGAAAGACGGGAAAGGAGAACGCCATGGAGACCAAGCCGAACGCCTTCTCGCAGCGCAGGCAAAGAAACACAATGTACAAATCACCCCCCAGCAACTGCCCGCACAACTCTTCGCACCAACTGGCCCAGCCGGCGGCGTCCCCCCAATTCCAGTCGGCACCGGACCACCCGCACCCTCGGCTCCAGGCAACTTTCCACGGGGGCCCCCGTCAAGGCCTCAAAACGGGATGACGAACCCCCATGACCAAGGTTTCCAGGGCGGCGCCACCGGCGGCTTCCAAGGCACCTTCCACGCGCCCCCTCCCGGACCACCGCAAGGCTTCCCACCCGCCGGCAGAGGTGGTGCTCCACAGCATCACGCACCCCCCCACCAACCACAGCTTGCGCCTCCACCGCAGGGCCTGCCGGCTCGTCCCCCTCCGCCGGTCGGGTTTCAGCCACACCAGCAACATACGTATGGCAGACCCCCACCGCCGGTGGGGTTCGCTCAGCCGATGCACCCTGGCTTCAGTCAGCCGCCGCCTTTGCCGGCGGGTTTCGGAGGTCCACAGCAGCAGGCGCCTCAAGGGTTTCCTGGACAGGCTCCTGGAGCTCCACCTGGGGCTACAGGGTTCGCCCCTCCGGGTCCTCCGCCGCCAGGATACGGGGGGTACGGAAGGGGACGATAGGTGGATGCTTACGGATGGGGAAGGTCCCGATGTGCATGTCCTTTTCTTTTTGCTCTAACCCTCATTTGTTTTGTGAAAACCTTCATGTGCGCTAAACAAAAGTCTGTCGCATAGTGGCAATTTATATTAGTACTTTATTTTTATCCACATTTCTTTCGCCTGTATGATACAACACTGACTAGCTCCCGGACGATGGTCACTATAATGGTCAAGTAAGGAAGATTCATATTTCGCAATACCATTACTGTTCTCTCTAATACCCTAAACCACAAGTGGCCCAAGATCCATGCCCTACCAACGCCTGATGCAAGGAACCGACATCTTGACCCACACGCCAAGTCTGCGGCTCTCCTTTTAGCTATCATATCACCCATAATCCATCCCAAGCCCCCAACCTAAACCACAGTCCATCACCCCCCCTTCTACACACATACAGACACCCGCCCACATATACACACACTCACACCAAAAAAAACCAATGGCCGACAAGCTCCGTGCAACCCAACAACTGGAGCAACTCCAAGCCCGCTATGTCGGCACCGGCCACGCCGACACCACAAAATTGTACCAACCTCTCTTCCCCCCACACCGCATCCCAAAGTTAATAAAGCTAGTGAATGGGTTTCGAACGTGCATAGAGATACCTACGCGAGTTATATCGGACATCCGCCGTTGCTGGAGTACATGAGTGTTGCGACGGGCGAGCCGATGGCGAAGATGAGGACGAGGTTTATTGAGGTGAGTTTAGTTCTTGGGGAAGTTGGAGATTAGGGAGCTAATTAGGGTAGAAAATGATTCAACCGGTTGGGAAACCGCCGGAGAAAGAGGATTAGGGAAATTTTGATTTGCTTATTTATCGAAGCGCTGTGCGAGATTTGCGGAGGATCCCAAGTCCAGTAGGGGGGGGGGGGGGGGGTAGTTTGTGTCTGGCTTTACAAAATGTGCGCTACAGTATACAGTATACAGAGTATAGCAAGGAACTAGGCGTTATACCTTACGACTATTTTTTTTTTTCATTTCTTTTTCCCTCGTCTTCGCTCATGAGAAGTAGTTACGGGTAATGATACAGCTACAATTATTAGAAAATAGAAAAGACCTCTTCTCCCTAACGCCTTTCCTTAAACATAAGGGTCACAACTATACAATCAGCGAAGCAATGTTAATCCTCATCTTCCGACCCATCTTGCCTCTGGGTACCATTGTTCCTCCTCTCCCTCCGTCGGTGTGAGCCCGGGGCCTGGGACGCGCTAGTCTCCGGATCGAACCCAACGTTTCTCATCATTCGCTTCTCGACATCCTCGGGGACATTGACGCCATAGACCTACTCTTATCAGTGCGTTCTTGAGGTGATAGGAAGGGGTAGACAAACCGTTTTGATCATAGATAGGACCCCATCTGTTCCAATTTCAATTTTCCCACGAGGGCCAAGAACGTAATCGAATGTGCCGTCATTGGCATTGTCGTCTTTCTGCTTCGAGATATAACCGTGACGGATCATCGACTGAAGGGCCTTTTCGGTTTCCCCGGCCGCAGTGTCTCTATCTGCATTCATACGTCTGAGATAGCGGTCAAGCTTGGTTTCTGCAATGGAGCGACCGTTGAGGTAGATTAGAGATACGATCATAGTGGCGAGACCAACATAGGCTTGTTCCTTAACACCAAACGGTTGGATTATCTCTGGCTCGCGGAATTTCTCAGGGAGGGTGGTAGTGAGGACGTAGGATTTGGAAGTTGAGGGGGCTTTTTCGCTGGTTTGCGCAGCTAGATTTTTCAAGCAGTGTTAGACAGCCTTTCAATGTAACCTAGCATGGGCAATGGGTTTCGCTCACCTCTCCTCTGACTGAGCTTCGTCTTCTCACGAATGGGAAGCTCTACCATCCTCATCCCAAATACACGTTCTAGTTCCAACTGAGCGTCGGCAAAGACCTCTTTGAACATTCGCCCGTGTGCACCGAGGACTAGAGAACTGTTAGAGGTGGGACACACAGGAGGTCATTGAACAAACCCTTGCTCGATATCTCAGTGCGCTTTATCGGCATACGGGTGTATTCAGCAGAGATGGCGTATCGGATTAGTTTCTTGACCATACGTTCCCTGTTCGAATCTGATTCGTTAGCTACAAAGAGTTTTCCAGTTGGAGAAAGCGAACCTTGAGTTGCTCCCTCCGCATCGCTAGCAACTTCATCCTCGATTCCGTCCTGCTCCGTAGAAACACTTCTCAGGCGACCTCGTCTAGCGCCCTGTGCAGAGCTCTCGCCCCCATTGCGCTGGGAGCTCTGTGGGGGCGCCACCCTGCGACGTTGTGGTGGACTGGCTTCTGAGTCCGATTCAGGAGGCGGCACTGGCTGGGAGATCTGGTCAGCATACTATATTGTAAAAACACAAAGACCTAGATCATACTGCACGGCGCTTAGCACCTGGAGCCATAATGATCTCCCAGTTTTGGCTGATAATCAGACTCTCCGGTGGGATGTGAAAAATTGGTTAAGGCGCGTGCGAAGGATAAGGAACAGCAACCCTACGGGCAGCCCAATCTGCTTGGCAGTTATGCTTGGTGACGTGAAAGTGAAGGTAGGGTAACAGCTGCGACACTCGCATCTTCCTTTACCCTACGAGTAAGGTAGCTTAGGTGGGACGGGGAGCAGTTTGATCCCCCCCACCAAAGTATCCATCAAACCTCCACAACAAACGCCCAACCCCAGTGATAGTAGAGTGCTGCTCCTATCGCTACTTACGTTCATCTATCATGTCTGAAGTTCACCTCCTCTTTCATCAGCCCATTGCCGATCACTCTTTCAGTGCGGACAGGTCTCTCCTGGCTGTGTCACGAGATACTAAAGTTGAGCTCTACAAACGCTCTGGGTCCGGTTTCACCCTTCAGGATGAACTCGCTGGGCATGACAAGACCGTCACTAGTGTTGACATCGCCCCGAATACTGGGAAGATCGTTACTTGCTCTCAAGGTATTTCCCATTCGTTCGGTCTCTGGTTCATGTGCTGATGTTATCCAGATCGTAACGCCCTAGTCTGGGAACCATCCCCAACCGGCTGGAAACCAACCCTCGTCCTACTCCGTATCAACCGTGCTGCAACACACGTACGCTGGTCCCCCGACGAAACCAAATTCGCCGTTGGCTCCGGTGCCCGTGTCATCGCCGTCTGCTACTTTGAGGGAGAAAACGACTGGTGGGTGTCAAAGCACATCAAAAAGCCTCTCCGTTCCACCGTCTTCTCTCTCGCATGGCACCCCAACTCCGTGTTACTCGCCGCTGGTTCTGCAGACGCTCATGCCCGCGTGTTCTCCTCGTTCATCAAAGGTGTGGACCAACGCCCCGATCCAACAGTTTGGGGAGAGCGTATTCCCTTCAACACTGTTTGCGGAGAATATATCAATAGCTCTGGTGGTTGGGTTCATTCAGTTGCTTTTTCGCCTTCTGGGAACGCGCTTGCGTTTGCTGCTCACGACAGCAGTGTTACTGTTGTGTACCCGTCCGCGCCGGAACAGCCGCCCCATGCGGTCCTTAGTGTGACTACCCAAATGTTGCCGTTTGTTACGCTTTGCTGGACTCGTGAGGATCAACTCGTTGCTGCTGGCCACGACTGTCATCCAGTTGTTTTCCAGGGTAGTATGGAAGGATGGAGATTGGCATACTCTGTCGACGACCCGCGCAAGTCTGCGGGTTCTGGGGCAAGCCAGGAATCTAGCGCGTTGAATATGTTTCGGCAGATGGATTTGAAAGGAAAGAGTTCGGTGGACGACACCAACTTGAAGACCATTCACCAGAACTCGATCACTATCCTAAGGCCTTATGAGGGCGGGCCGGGGAATATCACTAAATTCAGCTCCAGTGGTGTTGATGGAAGGATTGTGGTTTTCCCAGTGAAGGGCTGATACAGCGCTTTTGCCTAAGCGCATTATCAAGTTAGCTAGAATTTAGATATCATTGTGCAAGTGATGAAAATAGGCCGCTCAAGGTGAGCCGTTTAAATAAATACCGGGAGCGTGGCAGAGGACGCAAAGACCATCAAAATGGTGTGAAATCTCCCACGCAAAAGGAACGCTACAAACATTGTCGATAGCTTACCCCCGGTCTTTTGTGCCGTTCTGCCCAGCGTTAATACTTGTATGCTGCCTGGGCGTAATTCCACGCGCCGTAACTCGTGGACTTTCGTAGGTAAAGATTTACTTCCCCGCCAAGGGTCGACACGCAGTATAAAGGAGAGGAGGGCCTTCGCTACTCCAGAGAGATATGAGGGACCGAGATCTCTCACTTCCACTCCATCACCTTGACAATCAAGACATTTTGCACTCGCCGCTGGTTTATCTTCCATCTCTTTGACTCTAGCAAGTCAGAAACCTTTTGCCTGCCCTCAGCCCGACTCGGACAAAATGCTCATTCAAACATGGTAAGCCCGAAGCCAATGAAGGCTCCACAGCACGCATTTCCCAGTCGAGCCATTTCTCTCTGTCCAATCCTCTCAACCAAACCTAGGCGAGTGACACATTATGATTCCCATAGGGCCTAGAAAAGTTCCATGGCAAGTTGAAAGGCAAACACCCTATCCCGGCCGGTTGTAGGAGTGATCGATGCTAGCTCTCGCCCTCCACGTCGCGCTCTTCACCCGGGTCTGGCGTATTGTCAGGTACGGTACTGGAGCGAACTCAGGGGGGGGGGACGAAGTCCGGAAAGTGCTTTTTTTTTACGCCTATCATACTGGCAACCTTTTTACCCAAATCACTGGTCGGTTGGTTACCGTAGTTTATGATACATTTGTGAAATGAAAGGAAAGTTTTTTGTGATATCATAGGGGTATTCCGTTTACTTCCCCCAAATATTGGACGGAATGCTGGGGCATCATCACTTTACACTATGAGCCAACCTTGATATTAGGTACAATCTTCCAGGCCGTCCGCGACACTGTCGGAGCGATGCCTTGTGAGGTGTGCATGGATGGCCCGGCTGTAGCGGTGAAATTTCCAACCTCCGATGGAGGTATGCTTACTCGCCCGAGCAGGTGTCTCTCTGTGTGTTGTGGTATGATATTCGGAATGTCTTATACCGTTAGCTCTCACATAGGTATGATATTACCGCGACCGTTTCTTTCAATTATGCCCACTAATAAAAGGTCAATTTGATAGGGTAGTCCTACCATGTTCAAGGATTGGCGCCCAGACAAGAGTCGTCACTCTATAGGAACAAAACTGGTGGCCTAATACATACTCCTACAGGAGGAGGAGGGGAATACAGGAATGAAAGGGCAAATGCTAAGGAAGGAAAGAGGTGGTGGAAGGAAATATCTGTGTTCTTTCGTGTCATACCCCATTCGACAAGCAATGATATGATACTGCTAGTCTAATCTACTCATCTTTTTTGCGAATAGCGCCGGAGGAGCGCTGTGCGCCTTCGGCCACCTCCGCTTTCGCTTCCGCCTTTTCTTCTCTAGCCATCTATCCCGCCCATCCCGAATACAGTCAGTTTCAAGCTCTCTCCACGGGGGAGAAAGGGAGGAAAAGAGAAAGGAAACTTCTCACCGTCTTCTCATCATGACTATACCCCATCAGGCTCCAAAACCTTAGCCCAAGACTCGACCTTCCGATGCCACCGCTAGCAGCGGCAGCAGCCGCCCCTTCGCCGACCTTCTCCCTCTTCATTCTTCCGAAGAGCGCGCTGGGAGGAGGCCTCTCCCTCCCTTCCTCCCCTTCCGGCTTTTCCTCCTGCAGCATAGCGAGCATTTCCTTTGCGCGCTTCTTCTCAACCCCCTTCATAGCCTTCGAGAATTTAGCATCCGACTTAGTCTTCGCCTCCAGCCACCTGCGCACTGGTTCCGGCTTGATAACACCAATCTGGTCGGGCGCCAACTGCATCCCGGGGAGTTCCTGCACGGGGGGCAATTCGAAGATGCGGCCCTGGTGGTCGACCCGCTGTCTGATCATGTTGTCCTCAAAGGGGGGCACGTTCTGGGAATTGGACCCCTTGATCGTGCCGGTCTGGCGCAATTTGTGGTGGCCCGGTGGGACGGCGCTATTCTCGTCCGTGGAGATCAGGGAGATGTCGTCGTCCTCGTCGACTTTTATGCTCGTGCTCGTCGCGTTCGACAGCGCCCATGCACCAAAGTGCGCTATCACGCGGAACATCAGTTTCGCTGGGCGGGTGAAGGAGAGTGTGGGCGTGACGTGGCAGCAGCCGTCGTGGACCTGTAGCCAGACTCTTGTCGGGGGGTAATTTTTCTCCAGCGCTGCTTCCTGGCGCCCCGATGGGTCTTTAGCAAAATGATCGGGCCAGGTTGGGTACTTGTCAGGGCCGGCGGCTTTGTGCGCAATGTAGATTTGCTCGTCTCTAAGGATCTCACCGCCGCCAGTCATTATTAGTAGCGGCGGGAGGCCGCCGAGGGTGCTCTGTAGGACTGGGGAGACGAGGGGATGGTCCATTAGATCGTTTGTGGTGTACATGTGGATCTGGTCCTTGAGGGTTACCAAGTTCCCAGCTATTGTTACGGCTTTTTTGTGGACGGGGATTATCGGTGGTTTTTCCGAATCCGTTGGAGCTTCGACATCTTCTCCGGTCGGGGGCGGCCAGGCCCGTGAAGGCTTGTGGAAGAATCCGTGGGGTGGCATGAAATCATGTTCATTTCCTGGCTGTTTGTCAGTCGCTGCCACCAAAGGGTTCAGGACTCGGTCATCAAGAATCACTCGAGTGGTTTAAACCCCGCCGTTCCTCGCACTTTCAATCTTAACTTACCCGCGACGATGCTAGGGAAGCTATGGCAGAGGTCTACCCAAGGACTAATCAAGACAGCCCCGGCAGGCATTGGGAGTCCCTGATCCCGGAGGATCACCAAGAGAGATAGTAGCATCCCTCCACCGGCCGAGTCGCCGGCCACGATGACTGTTTCGGGGCTTTGAATTGATATCAAATAGAGATAACATGCGAGCGCATCGTAGATTGCTGTGGTCCTTGTTAACATCCACCACAACCTGACGCTTGAAGGCGACGTACCGCATGGAAATGGGAATTGCGGGGCAAGACGGTACCGTGCTATAGAACAACCAGACAGAATGAGCGCAGGTCAATGAATACTGCGAAAGATTCCGTACGTGCAAACACTCTAGCCTTGAGCTTCCGGGCGTGTCTCTGTAACTGATACCTATGTTCATCGACACTCCCGAAAAAGTAACCGCCTATAGTAAGCGAGAATACGATATCAGCTCTAACCTGTCCCTTTCACAACCAGGCCAAGCCCGAGACAAACCTCCATGAACATAGAACATAGTTCTCGGCAGAATTTCCGGGTGCCTGGTTCGGGTCCACCAGTCTTTCCTCATCTCTATCCATTCGGCAGTCAACTTCTTCGGCGTCCACTTCCACCACTGCTTGCCCCCGACCCTCTCGACGCCATCTGTACCAAGCTGTTCGACGACGTGCGCGGCAGACCTTTCCAAGAACTCGGCAGGAATAGATTCATCCTCGGTGTGCACCCAAATAGGATGTGGGACGTACTGCGCGGTGAAGGCCTGTAACTGCTCGACGGTGTGTTGCGATGCGTGGATCAGGAACTTTCGGATGAGCTCGACGCCTTCGTGGTAGGAGAGACTAGCTTTCGGTGTGTTTTCTAGGAGTTTATTATTATCGAGGAACTAGGGTAGTTTGGATTAGTTTCTTTCTTTCTTTCTTTTGTTCTTTGTTTGTTGGACGGCTCAACACGCAAGAAAAGGAGGGGTTTGGCTCGTCGCACATGAGAGAAAGCAGTACCGACTATTGTCGGGGCAGCAGCCGAAGCAACGGTGAAAGTGTTAAAAGGTGACATCTCCGAACGAGGGAAGTAAGCAATGGGGGCTGGCCGAATATAGAAAGCCTATGATAGGAAGGAAGAGCCACGGAAACAGTGGCAAAGAGGAAAGCAGTACAGCAAGTTCGAAAGAAGGGGAACGCAGGGTAAAGGGGAAGGATAGACAACAAGCTCGGAATAACGCTGTTGTTGATATGCCATGATATTCCATGGTGCGATACTGTACTGGTACTGGTATCCGTACAGTTAACTGCGGTATTCCAGTCAAACCCCCTCCTTTCCCCCCCCCTCTCTCTCTGGAGCTTCAATCCTCCTTTAGGTTCCCGACCGGCCTTGCAGTGCGCACGACATCTTAACAAGCATATAATAATTTCGATCTTTCGCTCTACCCATGCGTATTTCGGTTAAAATTAATCCTTATGCACTCAGCTCACAATTCACATTCCGGGTAAAAGAATGGTAACGCGCTCAGCACCTTCAGATCTGGCGTACCCGTGCAGTGCGAGGACAAGAATCCAAGTGCGCGTATCAAGGTGGAGCAGAGGTGAAGGCGGAGGAGACCAAGTGATAATCCATGCCTTCTCATAGATTCCTCATCCAAGTCAACAAGTTACCAACTCGAGGAGGCACAGCAACGAAAAAGACAAAGCCAAATGGCCCCGTAGGGGTCGCCGCAACACCGCAGGAAACAGTACAGGTACAGCCTGGCCGCGAGGTTCACTCACTCGAGTGCAGTGCACTCTCGCGGAAAGAGGTGAATGGAGGCTCTGCGAATAGCATATTGTACAGTAGGGGAACACTCGGGACATTGGGGTCCACAGCTGAACACTTTATAGAGGTGCCGTTTTCTATGCACGTGAACTACGGGTAGCTATGATACTTGTACTACGATACGGTAGTCTGGGTTATCACCAGTAACTTACCGGCGGGACAGGTACTTGTACTTGGATAACGGTGCCGGCATTAAGCTCCCTAAAGAGTAACGAGATAAGTGTATCATAATACCAGCGCTGGATAGGAGCCATAAGATTTCTCAGTTCCCTGACCTACCGGTAAATGCTTGAATGGTGGCTGTACGGGTAATCCGGCAACCTACCTGGGATCACAGCATAAGTTACTGGTACGGCTATCGTGCTCGTACGAGTACTATCTCGTCATAACGTCAGTACGGGTAGGATAATACTGGGAGGGTACTCTAGTACAGTACAGTACTTGTACTGTACAGTATCATACCCTATGTCTGTCACTGGCTATTTTCCTGCGAGTCACAGAGTCTACTCGAGTGCCCTGCTCCTGGACTGAGGCAGTTGCACACTTGCGTGTGGTTACAGGTAGTCTACGAGTACGAGTGTGGCCGATAGATATATTCGTCACGTGAGTCTGATAAGAAAATTTCGGTGCACCTTTTGGCGCGATGTGTCCTTAGATAAGGCACGTGACGAATATATTTATGGGCCGCACTCGTACTCGTATTGTGTGATGCTTGTCTCCGTGACCCAGCTTCTCACATCACCATTTCAGGTAAGGTTGATTCCCGCCGATAGGATAAGATCGGAGCCGCAAAAAAAAAAAAAAAGACACCACCCCAAAGTTCCCCCCCCCCCCCACTCAACGGTCTCTCTACTGTATTCAACCTGCCCGCAAATTCCCACCTCCTTTCTCAACAACTGTTGCCCGCCTTGACCAGCTCTAGCTGGCCAATCTCCCACAAGTCATGGCTGCACCGGTCACCCGTGTTCCTCTCGCCAGACTTCCCGCTCTCCCCGCCGCCTCGACTCCTGAACAGCGCTACTGGGGAAAATTCAAGTCGCACCTTCTAATTCAGGAATACGGGGCAATCAAGTCTATCAATTTCTCACCCGTTTCCCCTCACGATTTCGCTGTCACCGCCTCCACCCTCGTCAAGGTGTATTCGTCGAAAACCCGAGCCGTGTCGAAGACGATCTCAAGATTCCAGGCGCCCGCGCAATCCGGAAGCTTTCGCTCTGATGGAAGGCTTCTGATTGCCGGTGATGAGGGTGGTCTGATTCAAGTTTTCGACGTTGGATCGAGGGTCGTCATCAAGACGTGGGATGAGCACAAAGGGAACACGGTTAATGTCACAAGATTCTCGCCAACAAATGTGACTCAAGCGTTGTCCGCCTCCGATGATAAGACGGTTCGTCTCTGGGACTTGACGTCCCCGAATTCCACTCACAAATTCATAGGGAACCAAGATTACGTCCGGGCTGCATCTTTCGTTCCCGGTTCTCCCCACTCGGTTGTGTCCGGGGGCTATGATAGGACTGTTAGATTGTGGGATTCTAGGTCCGCCGGCGACCACTTGAGCATGGAATTCAATGTCCCGGCACCCGTCGACGCATTGCTGGTTTTGCCGGGCGGAACAACCGTTCTTGCCTCCAGTGGGCCGACCGTTTATGTATGGGATATAATTGCGGCGAGGCGTGTCGCTGTGCTGCACAACCATCAGAAGAGTGTTACCTCGCTGGCGCTGTCCACCGGACCGCGGCAGGGTGGGAGGAGGGTCTTGACTGGTGCACTTGACCGCCATGTGAAGGTTTACGATCCCGCTACCTGGAAGGTTGTTCACGGCGTCAAGTACCCTGCGCCCATCCTGGCAATTGGCATCTCTCACGATGAGAAGCACTTGGCCGTTGGTATGGCCAATGGACTCCTGAGTGTGCGTACCCGTAGCAGCGGTAAGGAGAAGGAGAAGGCCAAAGAAAAGGAGAGAGTCTTGGACATGATTGCTGCTGGTATTGATCCGATTACCGGCATGGGCGGTCCCAAGTCAAAGACCAGTGCACGGAGGAGACGCACCAGGGGAATGGATTACAAGGGGGAAGGGGCCGATATGGTTGTGGAACAGGAGACCAAAAAGAAGAAAGAGAGGCCCTGGGAGCATTGTCTCCGCAAAGGAAATTACGGCGACGCTCTGGATCTCGCTCTTACGTCGGTCGGTTTCCCCATCTATATGTTGGCGAATTGATACTCACAAACATCCCAGAACCAGCCTCATATCACCGTCTTCACAGTGCTCGGAGAGCTCCGCTATCGCAACGCCATCAATGCAGCGCTAGCCGGTCGTGACGAAAACACCTTGAGACCTATTCTAAGATGGCTGATCAAGCATCTCCCCGATCCCCAGTACGTTTCAACCATTGTGGAAGTTTCTCTATCAATCCTCGGTATGACCCATCTTCCCTCCCCAGCCGTTCACCTTCGCCATTCTGACAACTGGTAGATCTGTACTCCCACGATCTGGGGAAGTCTCCTGAGTTTGATAAACTTATGAGAAGGCTTCATCTCCGCGTCAAACAGGAAGTGGAGAACGCAAAGCAATCAAGCCTGATTGTAGGGATGTTGGACATGCTACTAGCAGGTAGTGCTTCTGATTGAACCCTTTTCGTTGTAAACTATTTTCTCCCCCTCATATCATACAATTACAAGGGTAATTGGGCTGGACTTGTCTTTTTTGTTTTCGTTTTCCCTTCAAATTCCTTGGCGCTTGATGGGTCTCTGGCGATTTTTATGGATCGGAATGTATATTATCCGTGCTACCCTCACTCGTTCCTCTCCCCATCCTTGTCCTAGCCTCTCACCTAAAACCGCAAATAATGCAGCTTGACTTCATCGGTCTTCATAAGAGTGATACCCCATGACGAATTCCTACATCCCCATCTGTTCAAAGCAGGGTAACCACCGCCCGACACCAATCCAACCCGCCACGGCAACATCCGCACCCTGCCTTCCTGCAGCATCTTAAACCCAGGAGAGAAAATTGGAGAATTAGAGAATTACGGAAACCAGAACCACCGCCACCACCACCAATGCCGCCCCCGATCGTAGGATCAAAAAAACGCATCCGTCAATCCGCGGACTCGAAGCCAGCGGTTAAGCGTGCAAAGACAAACAATGGCCACAAGGTCACCCTCGACGAATTGGGATGGAAAGAGGTTCCTATGCCCGATAGGTTAGATGATGTCGAGGGGTTTTACGGACTTGATGAAATTGACGGAGTGGATGTTGAGATTGATGGGAGTGGGAAGGTTGAATACAAGGTTTGTAGCTTGGATGGGGGGTTGCACATAGCAGGGAAAGGGATGCTGATTGGGGTTTTAGGTCAGCACTTTGGCGAAGGGGGGGAATAAGAAGGAGGAGGAAGAGGTAGTGGATGGTGAGGATGAGTGGGGGGGAATTGAAAGTGATGAGGACTCCGGGAAAGAAGTGATTTCCAAAAAGGCGCAAAAGGCGAAGAAGAAAGAGCCGGCAAAGTCGGGGAAGCAACAAAAGAAAGACAAAAAGCTCAAGTCCGAGGATAACGAGCTCGGAGGTTCCTTTGCTCTATTATCGGATGAAGATGAAGACGGTAAAATACCCTCGTGCCCCCACTATCCATCAAACCAAAAGGAGTTAATCATCTGCCGAATAGTCTTCCTCCCGGCCTGGGACTCCCTAAACCTCTCCCTCCCCACTCTCCGTGCCCTCTCAAAGCTAAGTTTTAACACTCCTACGCCCATTCAGTCCTCTGCGATCCCCGAGATTGGCGCTGGCCATGACCTCATCGGCAAAGCCAGCACAGGTTCCGGCAAGACCCTTGCATTTGGAATACCGATTCTGGAGTACTACCTCTCCCGCCCGTGCAAAAGCTCCAAGACCAAGGAGGAGGAGGAGGAGAAATTGCCCATGGCGCTAATACTCTCCCCGACGAGGGAGCTGGCGCATCAGCTACATGCGCACTTGAAGGCATTGACGGCGTACGCACCGGATATGTCGATCGTGTTGGTTACCGGAGGGCTCTCGCTACAGAAGCAGCTTCGGAAATTGACTGAGAGGGGCGGCGCCGATGTGATTGTTGCTACGCCGGGGAGACTGTGGGAGGTTGTTTCGGAGGGCCAGGGTTGGATAGCCAAGTTGAGGAGTGGATTGAAGTTTTTGGTCGTGGATGAAGCAGATAGGCTTTTACAGGAAGGACACTTTAAGGAGGTTGAGGAAGTCATGAACCTCATTGGGCGGAGGGACGCTGGGAGTGAGGGTGAGAGTGGGAGTGAGGGTGACGCCGACGAGGACGAGTATTCTAAGAGGAATTCTGTTAAGAGGAAGAGTCAGGAGCGAGCGATTGAGCGGCAAACGTTGGTCTTTTCGGCGACGTTTCATAAAGGTTTGCAGCAGAAGCTTGCTGGGAGGGGTGGGAAGAAGGGATTGGGCGGCGACTTGATGGGTCAGAGGGAGAGTATGGAGTATCTGCTCAAAAAACTCAAGTTCAAAGACAAAGCCCCCAAGTTCATCGACGCCAATCCCGTCGGACAGCTTGCGGAAAGGCTAAGGGAAGGGATCATCGAATGTGGCGCTATGGAAAAGGTACTAATCACCCCCCATTTTATATCTTCTAATACTAACAATCTCCCCTTCTAGGACCTCTACTTATACTACCTCCTCCTCCGCTACCCCTCCAAGACTCTAATTTTTACCAACTCAATAACTTCTGTCAAGCGCCTCTCGCCGCTCCTAGCAAACCTAAGTCTCCCCGCCCACCCCCTCCACTCCAAAATGATACAAAAGGCCCGCCTCCGCTCCTTAGAGCGCTTCTCCTCTCCAACCTCCCCTCACTCCATCTTAATAGCAACGGACGTCGCCGCCCGCGGCCTCGACATACAAAATGTCGACCTAATAATCCATTACCACCTTCCCCATACGGCAGACACATACGTCCACCGCTCGGGCCGCACAGCGCGTGGTGCGGATGCCCGTGGGGTTAGTATCCTACTATGCTCGCCGGACGAAGTCATCGGCGTGCGCAGACTGGTCGCAAAAGTGCACGACCCGGAATCCCTATCGACAGCACGCTACGCTATGCGCTCTTTCGACGCCGATAGGAGATTAGTCACAAGGCTGAAGCGCCGCGTCGAGCTCGCCAAGAAAGTGGCCGACTGCCAGGTTGAAAAGGCGAAGAAGGGGCATGAAGATGAGTGGCTGAGAGTCGCGGCGGAGGATCTAGGTGTCGAGTATGACAGCGATGGCTTCACCGGCGGCGGTGGCGGTGGGGCTGCGGCGGGGAAGAGGGGCAAGGGCAGGAAGAAACGCAGGGAGGCTGCGGCCGCAGCTACTAAGGCCGAAGTCGCGTCGTGGAAGGCAGAATTGGCCGGGCTACTGAAGGAGAAGGTGAATGCAGGGTTCTCGACAAAGTACCTGACCGCCGGGAACGTGAACCTTGCCCAGGCGCTAGTGAACAGCGAGGGGATGAGTGCGAGTTTTTTGGGACTGGAGGAGAGAAGGGTTGTCGATGAGGTTGGGGGGTAGATATTGGGTGGTATTTGATTGCTGTAAAAAGCGGATTAAAGAGGGAGTTTTTTCCCCCTTTTCTTAGTGGGGTGGTGGGCGTGGCTGTCTGTGTTTCACTTCACTGTATTACATCGCTTATTTTCGAAGGGAGGGTAGAGAAAAGTTATTGAATAATATAGCATGATATAACATTCGTCTGTCCATCCGTAGATGACTCCATGCCATAGAAACCCATCCCATTATTGCATCCACAATGCGGGGATGAGATTGTGGACACAAAACAACACCTTCTGAATTAGTATCCCGCATGTACAGTACAGTACCCAATTACAAGTAATCCACGATGCCATACGTCCGGTATTATAAGCATTGGAGACCAAGCCAATACCAGCACCCCCCAACCAAGAACCCAACAATCGAACAATCCCTATCACCCCCTCAAACCAAACCTTTCCCAATTTCAAGTCCATCGGAACAAGCACCGCCGAGAACCAAAACCGCATCACAACCTATCATTCGCCATCTGGCATCTGGCGACCTGCAGCAGCCCGCCGCTGTAAGAGGCCGATGACAGGAAGCCAGAGATCAAAAGACAAAGCGATCGGGAAAGATATCGAGGTGATGCCTCTCGCCCGACTAACCTGATGCATGCGAACGCCCGAGACCGTCCTACCTCCGTAGTCGTAGGCAGTGATAGGCGGTGTCCGTGTACATATGTATAATATAGTATTTGTGGCTCTGGTCATTTTCCCGATTCTTCGAGTTGGTGAGCTGGGTATTGTACTATTGCAGTATCACACCATGGGTATAGTAGCTGGACGAAAATTTGTGCTAGTGCGATCCGTCATCACGTTGGGGTGGGAGTAGAGCTATGCGATGCCAAGGGAGGACGGCGGCCCGGACCGGGCCCTCAATCCTCGGTGGACGTGTTCTGATTATCTTTGCGTACCCTAGCATCTTGTCCTGCTTTTGTGAATGGGTGCCGCGAGAGGGGTCGACATGCCCTATCCACAAGTGTCTATGATTTTACCCCCCCCCCCCCGGAGGGATTGAATGAGAATGGGGCTGGGAAACTACCTTTTTCACATCACGAGCGAAACCTGATACTACTACCGCTGCCACTACTGCTATTACTACTGCTACCACTACCACTACCGCGTACTTGTGCTGGGGCATTGAGAATTCGTAGTCCAAGAGAGAGTCTAAAGAAGCGCCCCAACTTAGTAGATTAGAGCATTACGGAAGAGGAAGGAAAAAAGAGTAGTCATCTGCGGTTACACCCCAAATCTACCACTAGCAATCCCCTCGTACAATCACCTAGCTAGCCGCCAATATGCTATGATACAACCAAACGCCCTCTCATCGTCATTATGGCTGGCAGGAAAGAGACGGAGAGAAGAGAGAGAAAAGAAAGGTAGGGTACACTGTAAAGGCTCGTTTCTAGATTCACCAATTCCCCTCCGTATTAAATTTATTGCCGCCCGGGGAATTCTTCGACAATGGACTCGTCCCATAAGGGCTATTGAACATAGAGCTCAACTGCTGCTCTGGTGTCCAGGGCTCTCGATTACCTGTCAATACCGGTTGCTCACGATCCCCAAGCTTGGGCATTGGCTTCTTTGAATCTGAACTAGGCGTCATAGGTAGACTTGAATCAAGGCGGTAACCCCTACCAAAGGGTTGTGGAGTGCCCCCTTTGCTTCCTCGGTGACTACCAGCTCTACTACCTCCCGTGAGCTGGATGGTGCCAACCTCCGCCTCTTTGGCCGGCTTCGTGGGCGACCCGAAGGGGTCGAACCCAATCCTTCGGCGGGCATTCTCTCTCTCCTGCCGCCTGCTCTCACGAGTGCCGCCCCATGCCGAGTCAGATAGAAAGAGGTTCAGGAGTTCGTCGTGGACAGCGAGATGTGAGGTTTGTTGATAGTTTTGCAGGATGGTAAGTCTGAGAAGGCATTCTAAGATGGAAAGTGTGGATTTGACGTTCGGGGAAACGTATGGTGCGGGCGACGGGGGATGCTCGCTGACGTTCAGCTCGACGTTTGATAGGGTTTGTGCTAGGGAGGTATTTGGATCGGTAACTGATCCTGGGGGGGATGATCCTGGTATAGAGAATGACTCCTCGGCGTCACTATATTCGGACGCAGCATCATCAAAGTCTGGCTCGGGTTCTGTGAAAACTTCGAAAGCCAACCACTCCGCATCAAGGTGGTGGGGAAGTTCATATTCCTCCGGAAGTGCTTGCCGGGGTTCAAGTTCTCTGCTATCCCCCTCGCGCATGTCCAAGGGGTGCTCTCCCTCGCTGTCACTATCGCCATAATCATATCGCTCAACCCGATCAACCAATTTTCGAGGCGGCGCAGCATTCAAATCTCGCTTCACCAAAAGTATCGGAGAGTTCGATTCCTCTATTCCAAGAAGTTGTCCAGAGTTAGTGTAAAAGATCTTGGAAACCTGGTGGATTGGTATCCTAGTCCTTAATCCAGCCTTTTCAACATCGTCAAAGCTTCCTGGCGGCGGTTTTCCTTCTTCGACCTCATGCATTCTCCCGTCATCCAGATCTTCGATCAGACAAAGTTCATAGCAGTATTCATCAATTTTGCTCCGAGCACGGAGTTGATGGGTGTTACTGTTTGTCCCATCTTCATCTTGGTCGTCATCGTAGACTAACGGTACCCTCTGGAGCTTGACTCTGCATTTGTAAATAACCTCCTGCCATGTTAGATCCTTTGAGGATACATGTTCCTGCCGATGCGAGTGTCCAGCAAACAACATGTAGAGGCTCAGCGTGAAAGTGGTACCGACTTGTGCCGGGTCGAAGGGGTTCATTGAATAAGCGGTATCGCCAGCTGTAAGCAAGGTTGAAGCCTGCATAAGACGGGAAGGTGAGACGTTGTGTGGGATGTTTGATGAGATATTCACCCCTGATGTAGTAATTGCTAAATTTATGAAAGGAACAGCCTACAGCTAACTGTCAGCTTCGGTGCATAGCTGGGTGGGGGAAGGTGCGGTGGCGGTGAATACGTCTTCAATCTTCCTTAAAAGTTGCTTGATCTCTTGAACCACAGCATTAATTTCGTCCTGGCTCCTGCGCCCTTTACGGCCGCCTCCCTGAGCAGACAGGCCGGCAACTTTAACCCCCAGTGATTGGATGTCATGTCTTATGTTCTTTGTCAATGTCAGAGCACTCTCAAGCGAGGTATTTCCTCTAGCAGATCTGTATGGCTCAATTTAGTCAAACCAGCACACGGAGGTTCCACGGCCGAGGGGGCATACATAATCTCCACCAAGTCTATTGCTGGGGATATTATCTACTAACGGTTAGCAGCGAAAGGCCAGCTCATCCAGCGTCGGAACTAACTCTGATTTTCTGTTCCAGTCTATCCTGCAGGCCTTGAAGCTCTTGTCTATCTTTTCCTTTGATCGACTAGAATGGATGGGGCCGGTTAGCTCGGAAAACGGAGCAAGTGGATTGCCTGATTCCTGCACATAGCCCGTAAACTCACAGATATATAGCGACTGCATTCCTTTATAGCAAACTGACTCGTGACAATGATGCCCGACCTAGATTCGTCAATGAGGAATAGGCTCGACGAGTCATCCGATTTTTGAAACCTACCTTATTGCAAACGAAACTGGATCAAGTCAGCAGGGTTTCCAAGAGATAGGGAGAGTTAAGACGTACCCGCTTGTTGTGATACTTTTGCAAGGAAGAATTCCATTCTGTGTTGAAGGCGTTGCCAGGCCCCCGGAGAAAGGTGCTGTTGGTGACAGGTTAGGCGTGCCACGCCTATTATTTCGCGCGTTGACGAGGTGGGGTGCGGAATTCAGTATCATAGGGTACTCGAGTACCGGTATCGTAGTGGTGGTGGTGGGGGAGGGGGGGGTGCGAAGAGGGGTGTGGTGGGCAACGTCTATAAGTGTACCATGGAGGGATGCATCATGAAATGCTTTGAGCAGTGAGGGCAAAGGGTATCCTGCTACCAAATGTGAATTTTGAAGCGCAGGAGTTCAAGTCCCACTGCAGCTTGTATCTTTCAGTACTATGTCAGACATTTTATTACTACTCGTAGGAACGCCTCAGGAAGTCGTGAATGGGCGACCTCAAGGTGCGTGTGATATCCGATAGGTCTATAGGAAGTTGTAGAGTTAAAATTGTCATAAAATATGTTAATTACACGCGTACACCCCAATTAAGCAAGTCATGTGATGGGTCATTTATTCATTTATTTATCCATTTCACCCCATATCAATTATCAAAGTCCTATGCCCTGTTTTCTAATACCGGTAGGTGGTTACGAAGTGAAAATTGTGATATGATTGGGCTTCGCCCAGTAAATCAAGACAGGCTTGATTTTCCAACATAATAATATTATCATATGATTGAAGAGTAATAATATAAGGATTCAAGGCAAGAAATATAAAAGGCTGGTTTTATTAAAGAACCTTAATTGTCAATTTCTGCAGAGTTACTGACATGCTTGTATGAGTTACACCTCTGCATCAACAGATTTTCATATTCTGGAAAGGCATATACCACCTTAGACTGATAAATACCGGGGTTTTTTTGTTGCCTGATTCGTGCCCTGCTAGTACAAGATTTCTGTGTACTTGTACCCTTATTAACTGAAACTGGTGCCATGACCTTATCTATTTCCTCGACTGTTACTTGAATGTCTTCTTACTCCATCTTGTTGAAAATTGAAAATAAAGAAGAGAAAAACGAGTGAATGATTGAGGGATTATATTTGATGTTGATTGTTATCAATTACACGGCTATGCTAATTGTTCTCTCGATCAAAAGAGGTTATCCTTTGTAAAAAACAATTCCTGATGCAGGAACCAAACTCCTGTATTCCAAAATTCACATTCAGTAATAGTAAACCCTTTACCCTCACCACTTGAAGCATTTCATGGTGCGCTGCCCCATGGTACACGTTATAGACGCTGTCCACCATAGGCTGGGAACAGATATCATTTATGATACCTGTATTGTAAAGTATCTAGACACTTTGGCACTATCGGTACCTGATTCCCCACCAAGTGTCCAAATATTTTATAATGGCCAAGCACCGCGCTCGGGCATTGGTGGAAGGAGGAGGGCTTCTCCCCCTTTTAGATGGCGTTGTCGACCGCGCCGTTCCTACAAGTATCGTACGTGCGGTCCATTGGGTGGACCTGTGACTTCTTGTTAATTATGACACGCCATGGGATGACCGAAGAGGACTGACCATGAACGGTGATGAACTGAACCCAGTTGAGATGGGAAGCAAACGGTGTCTACGGTACTCTCATGGTATCCGGGTATGTACAAATAGTACTGTACGTGCAGGTATGTCAGATCTATACCCTCCCCCCACCGGTACCGGTATTTCACTGCGGAGTATCGTATCATGCTCGGGCATTCACCTATAATATCTACATGCTAGCGTGCGGTAGTTTTAGGGGATATATGCTTATTGAAAGTATAATACATACCACGATGGGGACTAATTATGTTTAGGGAAACTTGTGGGCTCGGCCATGGGCAAGTCTTACCATTCTAAGGGGAGAAGTTTAGGTACTGGGAATTATATACCGGTATCTCGCGTGATGCATGCTTGTGTCATCAGACCTGAGCACAAATCCCAACTGGTGGAGTTTTGGTATCAGAATCTTGTGTAGTTTGTATTGAATAACTTTTCTGTTGAGAAATCACAAGATTCCATGTCAAGAGAACGGCGTCGGGATTTCAAACCTAACATCCTAACTATCGCCTTCCGCTTCCCCGCTTCTGCACTAATGTGAACCCTTCCTCATCGATAGTCGGCTCCGGTGGCTGTCGTGGCTGCCTGGATTCAGGTGCTGCGGAGGGAGCAGCATCTCCCATTTCTTCGTCGTCCTCGTTTTCCTCGCTAGACGATGAGCCAGTTTCGTCAACCACTTCCTTGAACATTGAAGGAGCTGATGGGTTATTAGGCTTCGCAAGGAATCTTGCGTGAAGCTTATCGACGGTAGAGAAATCGCCGCCCATGACCTCCCTTCGTAGTACGATTATCCGGCGTGCGACCTAATTACCCATTCCCATTCGCTTAGGAGCTTCTTTATCGCATAGAATGGACAGTTAGGATGATAGACTTACAACCCATGATGAGTCGTCTTCTAGACAAACTGAAAATTCATCCTCCATGACCTGCAATAATGTCTCCTCGATGTCGTATTCGTCGGTCTCCGGCCGTCCCGCGAGCATTTCGACGATAGCGCCAGCAAGCCAATCCCGCTTGCCCGAACTATCCTCTCCGCCCCACAGATTGTTCACGGCTTCCGTGAGGACATCCCAGCTATCCAAGACGAGAGAGACACCGAGTTCCCACTTTGCGGTGGCCTGGGATGAAAGTTGAACAATTGGAGGTTGATGAGCATTCCCCGTAGTTGTAGGGTGTGTGGGCCGGACCGTGGCCATTGGGTTAGCGGTAATTTTCGGATTGGGGGAAGGAATCGAGAAGTGGGTGAGTTGATGGAGTGGAACCCTGAAGACCAGTGTTTGGCAGGAGTTTTCCAATGCTTTGCCACCTGGTGTTTTCCTGATGCATGAAAATTTCCCGGCCCAAAATACCGGTAACCTGGCAGGGTGGGTAAGGAGGAATGCGGTTACCGTAGCACTGATACCCGCACGGTTTCTCGGCGGCTGACTTTGCTCTTGCCTAACGATGCTGCCACCGTAACGTTAACTCACAAACCAAGTTGAGTTAAGCGAAAAGGGTGTGGCATGCAGAGAGCTCACCTGCGTACATATGATATTTGAAAACTTCCATCCAATATCACCATCTACGGTAGGGCAGTCAGAGAGCTTCGCTAAGAATCCAACACACCCTCCAATTCTACTCTGTTCTCATGAGCATTCTTGCATTTTCAGTATGCCTTACAATATAGCGTATGTGCTCGTGCATTTGCCTGTGCCTCCCTACAAGACATCGAGATTCTGACTTTCCCCTGGACCAGAATGACAAGTGACTTCTTCTATCCACAACCCGGTGCGTGGGTGCCCGTTTCTAGCATCAACATCGATTCCAGCCTTACTGATACTTCCCCTCTACACAGGTGGAGTCGAAAGTCACATCTATCAGCTGGCTACTGTCCGACCCCCTTACTGCTGCTCCCACGTCCTTCTCCACGTCTAACCTCCATGTCCCCTCCAGAAACTCCGGGACCGCGGCCATAAAGTAATCATAATAACCCACTCGTACCAGACTCGCCACGGTGTGCGCTACCTCACCAATGGCCTCAAGGTCTACTACGTCCCCTTCTTCGTCATATATCGGGAAACCACATTCCCAACTGTTTTTTCCTTTTTCCCCATATTTCGCAATATCATTATTCGGGAGAACATCGAGATCGTCCACGGACATGCTTCCATGAGCAACCTATGCCATGAAGCCATTTTGCACGCAAGAACAATGGGATTAAGGACCTGCTTCACAGATCACAGTTTGTTTGGATTTTCAGACGCGGGTACCATCTTAGCGAATAAGCTCTTGAAGTTCACATTGAGTGATGTCGACCACGTCATTTGCGTGAGCCATACCTGGTAAGTCCCCCGGAGTGGGGAGATCTTGTGGCTGGCACCCTACTAATCTCTAGTAGCAAAGAGAATACCGTCCTTCGCGCCGCGCTTGACCCTTCTATGGTCTCTGTGATACCCAACGCTGTGGTCGCTGAGAATTTTAGACCCGATCCAAATGCTGCTTCTAAAACACATATTACTATTGTTATCATATCACGCCTCTTCTACAACAAAGGCACTGACCTCCTCGTTGCTGCGATCCCTCGAATATGCGAACTTCATCCATCTGTCCATTTTATCATTGCTGGTTCCGGCCCAAAAGCGATTGATCTTGAGCAGATGCTAGAGAAACACATGCTCCAGGACCGGGTATCTATGCTTGGGCCAGTGCGACATGAAGAGGTTAGGGACGTCATGGTTCGTGGCCACATATATCTACACCCCTCATTAACGGAAGCATTTGGCACTGTGCTGGTTGAGGCTGCCAGCTGCGGGCTCTATGTTGTATGTACTCGAGTGGGGGGCATTCCGGAAGTTCTTCCAAGTCATATGACTGTTTTTGCAAGGCCCGAGGAAGACGATTTGGTCAACGCCACCAGCCGAGCGATTAAGGAAATCAGAATGGGAAGAGTAAGAACAGATAAATTTCATGAACAAGTTAAAAGCATGTACTCGTGGACAGATGTGGCGGAGAGAACGGAACGAGTATATGAGGGCATCTGCAGGGGCGAAAGGGTGGGTCTTATGGAGAGGCTAAAGAGATACTACGGCTGCGGTGTTTGGGCTGGAAAGTTGTTTGTTTTATGCGTGGTTGTGGACTATCTGATATGGGTGGTATGTGGTTTCTGCCATGCTGAGTATCCTGATTGTTTGCTAATAGTCTAAAAAGTTACTAGAGTTCTTATTCCCTAGAAGTAACATTGACATTGCTCGGGGATGGCCCCGGAAGGCTGCTGGGATTGGAGAAGGAAGTACCAGAAGGGACAGGTCACGGAGAAGAGAAGCGCTTGTTGAGGAAGAGAATGTACGTAATTGATGGGACATATATAACCACAAATACCAGGATCCCTTGTTTGTTAGCCCAAACCCGGTATTTCGAATAGGTTGTCCGCCCAAGATAGCATTTCATTGTTTTAGTTTCACAAATTCTTTTGGAACATGGTACCGTGCTATACCGATGGTCGGCCGAATCCTCCACACTCACAATTTGGTTCACGAATTTTCCGTAAGTGCCCACGATTGGTGAAAATTCGAGATGCAGCGACAAGCGATTATGACAAGACATGCGGAAGGAATAACGCCAGCAATAAAAAACTTCTCCCATAAACAAATCTAGAAAGCTCATAACCCCGCCCAACCTCCCCCCCCTCCCTGCCTTACCGGGCTGCTCCGTTGAAGGGCATACCCGGGTCTCTTGTGTGCTCGGAGGCACGAGTGGGTGATCTGCGCTTAGCGAGCCTCGAATTGTACCATACTAGACGAAGGATAACTGAGGTTAGAGCTATTATCCCGGAATAGCGGATATCGATCTTGGGTACCGTGTGGTTCTCTGCTTGTAAAGGATACGGTGGCCACATTCTTTGCAGCGAATAGGCTCTCCTTTATTGATGCCAACTTTGACACCACATTCAGCGCATAGATAAAACATGGTTCCTGCGGGGGCTGGGGCATAGGAACGACCTATGCCTGAAGAGCTAGCAGCTGGTGGTTGATAGGCCTCGCGCTGGGAACCGGTTGTCGACGACATGTGGAAGAATTGGATGAGGGATGGTAATAAGATGTAAACAATATTAGGTCGAGAGAGCAGTAGGGCAGTTGAGAGGTAGGCAGGGGAAATAAGAGGAGGGTTGGAAACTCTCCTGATTAAGCAAAGGTACGGTTTGATGCTCGTAGGGTGAGAGTTGGGTCATCTGTTTGACTACCGTACTGGTATGGTGCAGGGTAATTTGAACCTTGAGGACTTGAGGCCCAATCACCCACAGAGCTAGGTTGGGTTAGCCGGGGCACATTTCGTCTGGATTACTAAAATTTACTCGAGTACAGGTAACATAATAATATTATTATGATAATAGAATTGCCAAGATATTAAAAATTTGGAAAAACACTGGGGATAAGATGACAAATCATACCCCACGCCCAATCGGATTCCCTTTAGTCGCCTAGCATATGCGGCTTCTACAGAAAACTCTAAGGGGTCTCCACCTCTCTCTTGTTCCCTCACTCTTCCCTCACACTTCCATCATCTCTCCCTCCAACACCGAAACCATAATACCCCATCCGCAAACTTCTCTGGACTGACCTTCTTTCCAGCAACTGACATCCTGCTCTCCTCCAGCTTCGTCTCAACAATAAACCATCAAATCCAACAGCTTTTACGATATTTATCGCCTCGCCTCGCTTCCGACCCATCTCGTGGGCCATACCGGCACTACCTCGCCTGCCTTCTATCCCGCCACGCTGTCACAGGTTCGTTCAGTATTTGCCCTTGCAAGAGAGATCTAGCATCTTTCTTGCATGGTTTGAGAGGTCAGAACGCGAGACTGGAAATTTTTTCATCTCCAGACTCTTTTTTGTACAGCACACTTTGTTTCCGCTGAGGAAAACTACTTTTACACTCATCTTGTCATTTACTCATTTCTTTACTTTTTACTTTTTTCTTCTTTCCCCTTCCGACTTGTTACTTCTTGTCAAGCCCCAGGTCTGTACTGTTCGGCTCGAACATATAATTATCTGTTTCCCCAAATCAAAAAGAGAATCTCGACGAGAAAGAAAAGAAAGAGGAAAAAAGAGAAATATTCTATTAGGTTAAGGGCAGTTGCTAAGTGTTTGACGGTACCCTAAACATTTTTCCTCGCTGCAACAGTTTTAACCCATTTCTCTTTTTCTTTACCTTTTCATCCCTCCCTCGCAGCAAACTGGTATAATTCCAACCTACATTTTTCTACCCTTCAATCGTACCAAAGAAAAAAAAAAGCGAATAGTCTTATTCTCTTAAACCGTCGCCTAGATCCATTGTGACGCTCGATACAGCCGGGTCACTTTATCAACACTTGGAAAAACTTAGTTCGCCTTTATCCTTTCCTCCTTTTCATCTTTTCACGCCGTTTTCACTCCAACAGAGGATCTGGAATCGCGGCAATGTCCTCCTCTGTATTTTTCAGATTCAAGTCTCACAAGGAGTCAACACGAGTAACTTTTGACGGTACTGGCATTTCGGTTTTTGAATTGAAAAGGCAGATTATCGTGCTCAACCGTCTTGGGGATGGCACCGACTTTGATTTCTCAATTTATAATGCCGATACGAATGAAGGTATGATTCAAATTCCGCCTTAAAATGTTGGCGAACATTTCTTAACCACGATAAATAGAATATGATGATGATACTACCATAATTCCCCGTTCTACATCTATCATTGCTGCCCGTCTTCCCCCCAGCAAGCCAGGGCGTGGAACCGCCCAGCGCTATGTCAGTGGAAAGGCGCCCGTGAATGCTCTTCCTAATGCTGGGCGGAGAGAGAAGAACTTTGGAAATGGGGCCCCTGCTGTTAGAAAGAATGGGAGTCCCCAACCTGCGGGCAGCGTTCCCGCTTTGACTGGAGGAGAATCTGAAGAGGAAAAGATTGCGGCGATGTTTCAGGCTTCTAGTGAGCAGTGGAATAAAACCCAGGAGCAGATGGCAAAGTGCGTATATAGCTTTGAATATTATAGACAATTTGAGTTGCCATGGGCGGCTGGAGATACTAACATGAGGTGTGATTTTCCGCAGTGCTACTCCCATTCATCGTGGAAACCAAGGTTTCAAAAAGAACAATGCGCCAGCCCCGGGACACCCACCGCCAAATGGGTATATTTGTTATCGTTGCGGCGAGAAAGGTGAGATACGACTACCCCAGCTTCTGAAACATATTATACTGACAAAGGCAGGTCACTGGATTCAACAGTGCCCCACTAATGCTGATCCTACTTTTGACGGACGTCCTCGCGTTAAGCGTACGACTGGTATTCCCCGTAGTTTCCTCAAGACGGTTGAGAAGCCGCTTCCCCCATCCGGAGATGATGATAATACCACCGCGCACTCTAACCCGACCTCGGTCATGGTAAATGCTGATGGCGAATATGTTGTCGCTCAGCCTGATCAGGCCTCGTGGGAGTCTTACCAGAAGAAGGCGGCAACTAATTCAAAGGTTGCTGCGCCAGTCGGTAGTAAGGAGTTGCAGGATAGAGGAATCGAGTGTCTAATCTGTCATAAACTTATGCGTGATGCATCAAAGACCCCGTGCTGCGGGAAAGTGTACTGCGAAGATTGTATTCACACTACATTGCTGGAGACCGACTTTGTCTGCCCGAATTGTGATGCAAAGGAAATTCTTCTGGATGCCATCGTGCCTGATGAAGACATCAGGAAGAAGGTAGAGGAATACCTAAAGGAAAAGGATGCTAAGGAAAAGGAGCTGAAAGAGAGAGAGAAATCCAAGAGCCCTTCTGTATCATCATCCGCGGGTAAAGCAAAGGAACCTAGTGCCTCTCAGCGTGGTGACGGGACTCTCTCTGCTGCGCCCTCTCATGGGAGGGTGCCTGCGCCTGTTCACGGTTCTATGGCTGGAAATTTTGCTCCTAATCCGAGGAAGAGGCAGGCAGATGAGGAATTCGAGCCCAGAATCCCCCGTGGCCCGGCGGCTATGAGAAATAATAACCCTCAATTCCAACAGCCACCACCCCATCCGATTCAACCCCTTCAACAGCCGAGCGGTGGATTTAACAATAATAATAGCCGGATGTTTAACCCTCAGCAGGCCTTCCATCACCAGTTCCCAAATCAAAACACTCATCAACCAACTCCTCCACCTCCGCATCAGTTCCAGGCGTTCGGCAACCAGTACCCTAACGGCATGAACGGGATGGATGGCATGAACGCTATGAATGGCAACTACTATCCTCAGAACGGTCACTATGTTCCCAGCGGGATGATGGGTATGGGTGGAATGGGTATGAATGGCATGATGGGTGGCGGTATGGGCGGTGGTATGGGCGGAATGGGCTCTCACAATCCATACCATATGGGGATGAACGGTGGTGGCGGCGGGACGGTCATGAATGTTAACGGACACGGCGGAAATCCAATGATCAACCCGCCCTTCACCCAGCAGTTCCAGCACCAGCATCCTCAAGGCGATCCGCGCGCAGCTAAGTTCGGATACTTCCCCAACCAACAAAAGACTGTCTTCAGTGAGCCCTTCCCAAGTGAGGAAGACAGCCCCTACATGAGAAAACCGGTCAACCCGCATAGACATTCTCGGCCTAAACGCATCCGCCCCTCAGACTTCAAGGCCCTCGGGGAATAGCCGGGAAAGCCCGGATAGAAAAAGTGGAGACACAGCACTCCTTTGTATAGAACGGTAACCATCCGTTTGTATAAAAAAAAACCACCCTACCCATTAATGGGGCTAAAATACCCCCCCCTCCACGTATTCCTTTCGTTTTCTTTTTCTTCCCTTCTCTTCTTTTTTTCTGCTCGACCCTCTCTTTTATCTGTACGACTCACGAAAGCCGATTTCATGAACATCCCGGGAGGGACGGGAGCATACATTCTTTTTGCAAAGCACCTCGGAAGTTTACAACCTAATGGATTCTAGTGGCGATGGACAGTCAGGCCGTGGCCGAGGTTATATCGTGTTTTCGGCGAGGCGGGCGGTTTGGCCGGATGGCCGGACGGGTCGAAATCGGTGGAATGGGTTTTCTAGCGCTGTTCAAGGGTGTGGAACTCCGGAGTACGGCGCGCTGGCTTCTTTCTCTTTTCTTCCTCCACTTCTTTTCTTCATCTCGATCATCCTCATCACCAACATTTTCGGCCAAAAAAAAGCGCTTGTTTTATTTTCCCCTTGTCTTTTTTTGTTGCGCTTTAAACTTTACTTGTGGAAAATAAATGGGATTCTTGGTTTGTGTTTTTTTTCTTCTTTTCTTTTCCTTTCCCCTTTTAATTCCCTAGTTTTTTTTCTTTTTTTCGAAGGGGAGATGGTTGACCCAAAATATTTGTTTCCTTTACTATTTCCCCTGTCTTCTCCGACTCTAGGGGTCTACCCTCGAAGGCATGTATAGTTTTGAGAGAATTTAAACCGTTTGACATTGTTTCGCGTACTTCTGCTATCGTTTCTTCCTTACAAGTTCAACTAATCGCGTGCCGCACTGTTGTTGGTTCCAGAACCAGCGAGTGATGAGATGAGCACTCACTCATCCATCCATCATCACTCGCAAAGGTGAACATTCTGCAGATCGGTATTCTCTTTCTTTCTTTCTTTCTTCCCCCCCCCCCCCTGCACTGCATCGTAACGTACTTTACTGCGGCTGTTTTTTGTTTCCTTCTCTTAATAAAAATAAAATGTCTAATATACATGAGAAATTAAAAAAAATCCAACTTGGTGCGGTTGATTTGGCGCTTCTAGCCTCCCGGCACAGCAAGAGATGCGCGGTGCTCCCGTTTTATTACGTTGCGATTCGAGCGAGTACTGTACTGTACGGTAGACTAAATTACTACCCCGGCACGGGTACAAGCTAGCGAATATACGAGTACTGTACAAGTACGAGGCTAGGGACATAAATCACCAGTAGAAGTGCGCTTTACATGGGAAGCAGCCGTACTCACAACAAGCCAACACCACTCTTGTTCAATCAATAAAACCCAATGTTTACTGCATACCCAAGAGGATTCCTTGGATTTTCTCTTCCATGTTGTCACAAATAAACATCCCTTTTTTTGGGATGTCTGTTGATCAAAGGGTAAAAGTGACATGCGCTCTTGGCGCTTTTTGTATGGGAAGCCGGGGTTTTGTCGCCCTGTTCCGACCCCAATTGAATAATCTTAGTTACCGAAACATTGATCCATATTTGCTGGCCCTAGGCTCTTGTGTATGAAAAGTTGGCATAGTTCTGAAGCTTGTGCTGGTGTTTTTCGCATGTATTCATTGGACCATCCGGGAAGGAAACCCGACCACCTGACGTCGGCTACTTTTGGTGGGGTATGCTTACACTACCGGTGATTTCTGTCTCCAGTCCGGTATACTCATATAGACTACGGTACAGGCTCAACATCAAGCCACCCCAACATGTGGAACATATAAGAAGTGGCGGCTGGTGTCGAAATTTCAACTCCAACCAAAATCGTTATTCCCCCCTCCCTCCCCCCCATTTCCGAGACTGCCCCGCCCTCCAGTGCCGGTGGGAAGACTTTACGAATGGAACCAAGTGAAGGAATAATTAGTCAATCATCATCCTCCGCCGACTCGCATCTGCCTTGCATCATAACCACCATGAGCCCCTTCCCGTTTACGTACGTACCTACCTACAACGATACAGAGTCCACCACTAGGAACATCGCTCGCGCTCTTCTATCACATCCTGCCGTAAAGTGCTCGTACAGTTTGACAATCATATATATATTCTATAGCCTGTTGGTCGCGCACTTGGCACTAAGCTGACAGGTACTTGTCTTTCCAAAAGTTCCGGTTGTAACATCGTTATAACGGTGAGCGCGTCAAGGTCCGAGAAAACACCAGCGGGCTACGAGTACCAGTACAGTGGACCTCCCATCACTACCGGTACGGGGGCCTACCGTACGCGAAAACTTTTTGAGCTTGGAAATTCCCGGGTCGAGTATGATACCGTGGTATGATGCCAGTGGATATCGAACAGAGCGGAAGATTCCCGGTCCATTTGTGGCGGTGGGTGGGTGGAATGTCCGGGAAGTAAAACTTATAAATCACTCGATCCTCGGTTATAATACCGTATGTTACCGGATGTAGAATTTGGTGGGAATTTTCGCGAGGGGTTTGAGGCAGTGAGCTGGATTGTAGTTATCTTTTTTGTTTCCTCTCTAGGAATAACTTGCGAGTATGTGTACAGTACTGTACTGTAATGGTAAAGGATGTGGCTAAGGATAGGTGAAAGTCAAGTGAAGATATGTCCAAGAACGACGGCACCAGTATCATATCCATCGCGGTATCATACCGAGAACGCTGGCTTTTCCCTACATATTATGGGTAGGGCTAGAGGTAAGCTAGCTAGGATAGTGGAATTCCTGTAAGAATCAGCCTCATGGATGATAGTAATGCTAGCATCCGACTCCATTCCTGATTGGCATATATATATATATACACTGGCCTATATGGTACTCGGGTATGGCACTTGACAGCCAACGACAATCCTAGGCTGGCCGTGCAGCGGTCAAGGGCGGATAGAATACACACACACACGCTTCGTGAAAAAAGCGGAAAGTCTGTTGCGGATTGTTCCGATTTGTGAAGGTGGGTGGGTGACGCCTCCATGGTACCGGTATTCTCACCGCATGGGTTGAAGGGAAAAATATGGTTAAATTTATAGCTTGAAGCTGACTGCGTTCGATATCCCTTGATTGGCCATCCCAGAATACCCTAGTGTGATGCTGGGAGGGGGTATTTGGCACTGTCGTCAAAACTGTCCCGGATAGTCTACCTGTATCCATGATGCTATCTTACCAAAGAGCCGCGAGTGATGATCTGTGAACCATCTACAGTATTACATCATGCTTTTAGTTTTTTCTTTTTTTCCCTTTCCTTTCCTTTCCTTTTTTGTTTTTAACCTCACCGAGGGAATAAAGCCGCGATGTCTTCGCCAAGTCCTTGAAAGCCGGAGCCAAATCCACAAGCCTTTAGCAGCGCTCTCCCCGAACACCCCGGAATTTGCCAGTGCGATGCTCGGAAAACCATCTCCGCTGGCTTCAACAAATCTCTAAGGGGAGAGCACGCTTTTCCGATATGTTTGCCAACACTAGCGGGTGCCGGAGAATGCTTATAAATTTATAGTAAGTTGTTATAATACCATTATGATTCTCCCGCTCCCTCCTTCTAAATCGCTCATACCAAATCGCGCGCTCGGGGCATTATTAGGCCAGTGAACTTCACTTGGCCCATTACCAAAAACCATAAGTCAACCAGTCAACGAGACTCTCTCCAAAAATCCGACCAAAAATCCGAGATATTACCAAGCTTGAGCTCTCACCAGAACTCGATATATGTAATCTTCAGACAACCTCCCCCCCTCTCCAAACTTACATGAGTAGTGGAAAAATTGAAATTTTTTTTACAGCAAAGAATCCCTCATGGCCTTTAGGAATGTCCTCCCGTTCGAGTCCATGTTGTTATTAGCACACGAAGCATCCCACGTCGAGACACCTCCAAAGTTCGGCTTGTCCTTGATCTGGCTGATATAGCCAATCATTTCCGAGTGGCTAGCGTACCCCGTCCCCTTACCCGAAGCAGCGAGGAAGCCCGCGAATAACTTTGTTCCTACGGTGCCGTTCGCAGCAATGTCTTCGGACCACTGGTTGAAGGAGGAGACGAGGCCGGTGGTTTGACAGTAGTTGTTGTAGAACTGGATGAAGAGGAAGTCGACCAGATAGACTGCTCTCCCGATAGACCTGTCGGGTCGAGGGCATTGCGGCGCGGCTGATATGTAGTACCTTTTGGAAGCAGAGGTGAACTTTTTGCGGAGCTCGGAGATGAGAGTTGGCCACCCTTGGGGGTTTCCATTTTCGTTGTCTGAGTTTGTGACGGTGAGCCGGGATCCTCCGTTATGTGGCCGGTGTGTGTGGGAGAGGAGAGGAGGAGAAAGAAGGAGATATACCAATGTCAAATCCGTCAACCGTGGCATTGCCAAACGGCCTCATAGAATCTAGCCCGGTGCCTTCACCAAAGAGCTTCCAGAGATTATCCGCGTACTCACACGCCGCAGAATCATCGCTCAACGTCTGCGTCCCCATAGATCCCTGCAAACTCAAGAGCACCAATTTCCCTTGCGCCTGGCACTCCTTGATGTCGGTGCCAAACTCTGGACAGTTAATCAAGTCGGTCCCCTCTATTGGATCCCCGCAGTACCCGGCAAGGTTCAAGCCCGGAAGCCCCTTCTTTCCCTTGATGATATGGGAAAACGCAAGCACGACAATATCCACAGATGAATCGGCGCAGAACTTTGAGAGGGAATCAGTAGGCTGATCCCTGACCTGGCCAAAGTATGCTACCGTCTTCCCGCGTGTTGAAACGACCGGTTTCTGCGGGGCTCCACAGACCGGAAGCGCAGCTGCGTGCACGCCGCTCAGGAATGCTGAGAAGAGGTAGAGAATGGAGGTAAGGACTGAAGGAAACATTCTGTGTTTGCATAAAACCTCCGAAGAATGAATGTGAAAAGGTTATATAGAAGGTATAGCTACAGCAAAAAGGAGTGGAAGGTGGTGAGTATCCAACAGCACCTAAGGAAAGGAATATTACAGTAGCAGCCGTGGGAAGAAGCTATGCTTGCCGGCTGGTTGGCTGGCTGGAAGTGAGAAATTAGTTTAGGGGATTTTGCTCCATACTTGTATTGTCTGAGGCCCTAGGCATGAGTCTTTATACACTGTACTGTATGTCCTAGGTATGGGAGAAAATCACGGCCCAGGTACCGGCCCCCGCACCGGACCCAGGACGCTCGGAAGGGCGTGGTCGAAATTGGTCGATAGATCATGGGTAAAGAGTCCCTTTCCTCCCCATCCTCCTTTGAGCCTTTCCATTTTTCAACGAGGACATTTAGCATAGGATGTTGCGGTCCTCGCGGCGAACTCAGCCCTAAAGGGTGGGGAGGGGCTATCACACTTCCCCCCCCCCTCCCCCCCCTGCAGTCACTGAGCGTTCGTGATCCAGTATGACATTATGATAAGATGCGCCCCTGTGCACAGTACTGTACTCTTAGCAGGCAGAGGAATAAGACTGCAGGTACACACGGTGCTTCGCTTTTATAGTGTCGTACTTAATTTCTCTCCCCCCCGTAGGCTGCAGGTACCATATTGATGTATCAGCCACACATGCCTTCACCACTCTTTTTTCAATTTCCACAGGTGTACGAGTACTCGAGTACAGTACCGTACCAGCCAATTTATGGAAACAGAAATTTGGCGACGCCTCAGCATCGTTTCTGATGCTCTATATGCCAAACTCAATTTCCGGGATCCTATAAATGAGATATATATGCACGGGGCCCTGGTAGAAAAAAAAAGGTGGGATCGGGGGGAACCCCACCGTTGCGACAGGGAAGCCAACCGCGATATATACGCAAACTTACCCAACTCCTGGTCAACCATCCCCAGAGTGAGGGAGCATTCTAGCCCGATTGGAACTGATCGGCCCCTCGGGGCACTGGGTATGTAGAAGAATACCGTGGATGATAATATTATATTATCATATTGATATTCTGGAAACGGGGTCAGAAAAAAAGGAGAGCCACCAAAGAAAGTAAGTATTTATACCGCTTAATTCATGTCTCCCACAATCTGGGGCTGCTTTATTGGAGAGATGGGAGAAATATACTGATGTATTATACACCAGCGCAATATACTCATAGTATAATACTGTAGTCAGTTACATCCGCCGCTACTACTCCTACTACCACCCCCACTACCACCACCACTACTACTACCACCACTCCGACATCCTACAAGTATTACAGTACCAGGTGAGGCACAAAATCCCCCAATCGTCTTCGACCCTTTGCCCCCGCCCTACCAAAACCTCGTATTGTAAGAAATACCTGCACCACTACCCCCACCCCACTCCGGGGATGACGATGGGGAGATGACCGCGAAAGCGCAAGTTCGGGACCTAAGTAGGGACGGAAAAAGGGAGAGAAAGGAAAGGAAAGGCAAGGGAAAGCACACAGCACCTTGTGGTACGGGTACTAAGGGATGGGAATTGGCACTCCTCTAGGTATTGTAAATACGGATACTACTGTAGCGACAGTATTGCACTAGTACAGTGCTCATTATGCTACAGGCAGCGAGTACTGTACTGGTACACAGGGCATACTAGTCTAGCACAGGTATGGACAACGAATACGGCAGTGAGACGGCGAACGGCGGGTTACACCAAAAATCTCTAGCGGCAAACATCAAATTTGATGGGCGAGTCACTGAGCACTGCTTGCACATACTACTTGTATGTGACCCTCTCTATCCCTCCCACTCGTTACTCCTACTATTACGCATGCGCACAGGCACAACTAACTGCACTGTACTGTACTGTACTATACCGTACTAGCGAAAAATTGGTAAATTCCTATGTTCGGGTAAGGTACTTGAGCACCCACGTTGCTAGTACTGTACTGGTACAAGCGCCGTACCACAAGCGCTAGAGTGCCTGGTTTTAAAGCCTTTTTATCCTCTTTGACCAAGCAAGTTCGGGGAGAAAGCCTTAAGAAATAATTTAAAGAACGACCCCGCAAACTCCCCTTTTTCTTCGCTTCATGCGGAGACAGACTCGCTTCACTGTTCGAGCCGACCCACTAACTTAGGCCCTCACCAGTTTTCATCATTCTCTCGAGTGATCCCCCATGACCTCATTGCCGTGTTTCACAGGGAACCCCGTACCAGGATCCTATTTAGCAGTACCAGTACTTGTACTCGCACCGGTAGCCCCCATCAGAGTTTTTTCTTTCTTTTTTCTCTCTCTCAGGGGTTCTTCACCCGGGGAATTTGCGAGGCCGTGCAGACCAAGGGAGTTTTTTGTACTGTACAGTACCGTGGTAGGAATATTGAAAGACGAGGCCTCGTCTGTTTTCCGGGAGAAGGAGTATTCCATGCATCCACTCTCAGGCTTACCCGTCACCGCAACCTACAGCGCCGAGTTCGGTATGATCCATACCACAGTACGAGTCGGCTTTGCATCCGGCTATGCCCACCACCACCCTTGCGAGTTTACTAGAATTGGCTTCCGCGAGCCAAGCCATTCCGGAGGGTAGAGTGAAGGTTTTCGTTGTGAGGTGGAAGTATTGAGAGCTAGGGAATTTGACCCTTGAAACAGTTAAACGGCTAACATAGTTCGTTCACTCTTGCGTCCCAACGGAACCGACATCCCAAATCTATACATTTATTTTATCCTCCGGGTGAGATCGCAGGGAGGCATCTTCTAGTACCAAATAGAGATACCGTCCCACGAGCAAAACCAGAAATGCAGGCACCCATTAACAACCTATCCAACCATCAGATCTAATTGCGAACAACTCCCTAAATCGATCAACTCCCCTCATGGGTAGTCCCTTCCTATAGTCCGGACAACGAATGCTTTCTCCAGCCGTCTGGTCTGGTTTTTGAACTCCTCTACCTCTTTATAGCAATCTAACGGTGTCCGGTCGCTATCGCACTCCGTTAGCCCACCATCCCAATCCCTCCCTTTCCACTTCCCCATATCGTTCCCCCCCCCCCCCCATCGTTTCGACGGTAAAGCTCAACTCACTTCCATCTCAAGCACTTGACAACCTCCTCCCTCGCCCTCTCCACCTCGCCATCAATTTTGACCATCCTAGGCATATGCTCCAACCTCTTCTTTAACGCATCGATCTCGGCCTGTACTTGCTCCCTACCCAGTCCCTTCGTATCCCCATTCTTATCGTTCTCGGGGAGCTTACTCTCCAGGTCAACCAGAAACTGTGACTCCCGCGATTTCAGACGTTGAAGTTCACTCTCGACGCGGGATTGGACCTCTATTTCTAACGACTTTTCACGGGTGCTGTTTGTCTGGTTGTTTATGCCCGGGTAGGAATTGCGTTAGCCCGTAGTGTTAAATAGCCCTATCGGGGGGCAATGCGTGTATAAGGTGAGGACGGGGAGGGAAAGGAAAAACCTCGCTGGAGGATTGCAGCGCTTCGACGAGGTTGTTGGAGAAACGCACCGGAATTTCGCTGCTGTTGGGTGACTCCGGATTAGCAATTCTCCCTTCTGTTTACCTACTACCAGTTTCCTTCACCGGAGAGGATTGTAGAGGAGGAGGAGGAGATTCTGTGCTTTTACCCATCGAAGATACGTTCGGCTGGCTTACTGTTGCCGGAACCCATTGTAGTGGTAGTGGTTGAAATGAGGTTTGACCTCGGTGGTCGCGAAAGTAAGAAAAATAACCTTTCCTTCGGAACCTAGAAATTCTGTGGGATGAGATGTTCTATTATATGGGGTAAATTCGGGTCTGAGCGTTGTTGGTGTGCACTTAATTGCAAGTTGGTAGGGAAGGAGGCTCAAATAATGACAGGGTAATGCTACCAGTAAGTTACCATACTTGTATCATAAGTTACCTTTTTTTTTTAATTCTCTCCCTGCCACTGTGGAACGCGGCTGCCCTCCAACTGACTTCTTTGTCACCCTCCCCTTCCTTCCCTCAGTCGCTCGTTACTTTGCCCCCTCCACAAATCTACCACAAACACTTCACTTCCACCACTAAAGCATGGATCCCGAGAGAGAAAGCTCACGCCTCTGGCGTGCATGGAGAACTGTTCACGAAATGGCTAGAGATAGGGTACACCTCCCCCTTTCTCTCCACCCACTAAAGCCGTGGCGGAGCGGACAAGTGAGCCAGGCTAACACAGCTACTAACTACCGCACCTAGGGATATGAAATCTCCGAAGAAGAAATCACAATAACCCTCGAAGAGTTCCGCCACCAATACTGCGATGGCGATGGTCGTCCAATGTAGCCTTTTCATCCCCTAACAAACATACAGAACACTAACTCCCTGGCAGCCGCAAGAATCTCACCTTCAAAGCCAACCCTAGTCCTGACATGATCAAGCAGCACACCCCGGCCCCCAATCAGCCCGCCACCGTCGGCACCCTCTGGGTGGAGTTCAGTGCAGAAAGTAACATTGGAATCAAGCACATGCGCGCCTTCGCGCACACCATCAACAGCGAGAGCTTCCACACGGGCATCTTCATCTGCTCAAGCCACCCCACCCCCGCCGCCATGAAGATCGTCCCCACCGTGCTGCCGAGCGTCATCGAAGTCTTTCTGGAGAGTGACTTGCTGGTCAACATTACCAAGCACGAGTTGGTACCCAAACATATCCTCCTCAGCAGGGAGGAGAAGAAGAAGCTTCTCGAGAGGTATAGACTCAAGGAGAGCCAGTTGCCGAGGATCCAGGGTGCGGACCCGGTTGCTAGGTATTATGGGCTCAAGAGGGGGCACGTGGTTAAGATTATTCGGAAGAGCGAAACTAGCGGGCGCTATGCTAGTTATCGTCTCTGCATGTAGCAACATTCTGGGGGTGGGGGAAAATGTACGAAAAGTGGGATTGGCGTTGTCATTTTTAAACCACGATAATGGGGTCCAGTTGAATTTGCCCTTGCACACACACACACCCGCTCGAGAGAAAATTATTTTGGAAGAAAAAAAAAGGGGGGGGGAGGGAGCGAAAGTAAGAAAGAAAGCAAAACTTCCTGAATTTTCGGCGATCTATGCTCGCTAGATGTAAATACACCCGACTCCCACCCATGCCTAACCCAAATAACCCAAGAAAAAACCCTCAAGCTTAGAGCCCAAACACCGGTGCAGCAACTTTATCCCAATTCTCATCCCAACGGTTCTCGGTCTCTCCCAGAGCCCCCTCCTTCAGCTTCATCAACCGTGGTGACGCAGGATCGAACAAGTTCTGCCTCTGTTAGCAATTATAGTGACCAAAAGAGAAAGTGCAACCTACAACCAGCGCTTCTCCCAATTCCTCCCCAGTCCTGAACACAATTCCATTAACCTCATGCTTCACAAGCTCACTAATAGCCAAGTAATCAAATGCAGCAACAGGAACCCCCACACCGAACAAGTCAACAACCTTCATCGGAAGATCCACCCCAGAGGTACTAGTATGCAAACTAACGCCCAGGTCCGCACATCCAACCATCTTGGGATAGTCTTCAGACTCAAGCCATACGCTCTCAATAGTGACGTGCTGGAATTCAAGCATCTCTACACGAGCCATATACCCGTCACGGAGCTGCCCCTTTCCAGTGATGACCGCAAGAATTGATGGCGCAGACCCATGCTTTAGGAAATTGGCCCTAGATGCCCATCGGTCGTAAATCAGCAGAGCTCCAAGGAGGTGACTGAAGTCTTCGTCCGGGGTCCAGGAGGTGCTGGAGATTAAAAGGCGGGTTGAGCCTGAGGAGATTGCAGATGCATGGTGGGCGGTTGCCGGGTGTGATTCCAGGAATTCGCCGCGTTCTTCGGGTGAGAGTGGAAAGAAGTGAGTTGGTGGTCTATCGTACAAGGTTCTGATGGGGGTTCTAGGATCGTCAGCTCAGCCTTTTTCCCCCGTTTCTAGAATCCGGTTAGGGTAATACTTGACTCCCCAATCGTTCTTCAAAGTTAGACCCATAACATCCGTTACCGTGAAGTTTGCATATGCGCCCTTTCCGACAAACATCTCGTAAATTTTGCAAAAGTAGACTATCGGGTGCTCTTTGAGCTTGAGCTGCAAGACGCTCCAACCGAAGTTATGCCAGTCGATAACAATTTTCATCCCCCGTAGAGCTCCGACAAGTTTCGCCACCGCTAGCGTAGGTATAGCCGGCGGGTTCTGGAGCAGAATGTATCCAGCCGATGGTGGGATGATGTAGCAGAGCAAGTAGACCATGGACGTAAGTTGGAAGAGAGCCTTCAAAGGAGCAAACAAGATGAATTGAATCGGGGTATCTGTTCTAAGGAACCCTGGAGGCGGGGGCAGCGGGCACATTTTGATATCGGGATTGTCCATGAGCTCCGGTCTTGGAGCGGATTCTAAAGTCCTTTCAGCACACGGTGAATGGATTCGGATGGAAGCTCATAATACCATCGTATCCAACTAAATCCACTAGTCCACCCTTCCGTGCAATTGATAAAGCATGATATTGCATACGAGGACTCCTCCCAATATCTCCAAGCACCACAACCACAACTCGCGTCTTCTGGTCCCTTCCAGGTGGAACATGCCTGCTCGGCAAACACAGCAAGAGCAAGGAAAACGAAAGTGAAAGAAAAAGTAAAGGAGTTCCCCAAAACTCAAGGGAATCCATCATGTCTCCCACTTCGGATGATGTTTTCTTTCTTCTTTCCTTTTTTCTGGGGAGAGAGGGTTGGGGTGGGGGATATGGGGCTTATTGAAGGACAGCTGGCGGGTTGGCTGTCGTATGCGGTTGGAATTCAAGGTTGGCCATCCTTGTCCCCCACTCAGCGGGTTTGTGCGGCTCAACCGCTTAAGCCATCCTTGCATACGAGTACTCGTACAGTGTAATTATGATAAAGCTTGGCTGTTCTGGTTGGGAATTTTCGTTCGGGGATTTGGATTCGGATTTCCTGCATTTCGCTAGCTATAATCAACGCCAGTCTACGGTTTATTGAGCGTGCGAGGCTTCCTCACTCATGAGAGGGACGTGATGTTTTTTTGTTTTTTTTCACTGCTGAAAGAATCCCGGAGGTTAAGACATGGGCTGTCACTCGGAAATTCACATCGAGACAATTTCCTTTTAGGTCCAACGACTGTGGTAGTAGTGATAGGTTGGCTTGTCTCCTCACAAATGTACCGTGTGATATAGCTTCTAATAATTTGACCATTGATCGAAAACTCTTCCGGATATTGCAACCGGAGAAAATGTATTGCACCGTTCATCCCACCGCCGGTAGATGGGGTGGGCATACTCAGAGTTGCCCCACTCGATACCGGCATTGCGGACTCCCGGCAGTGCGTGACTCTCATTTCTCTGCTGGTACTGTACCGTGCCAATACTTGTATAACCCGCAGAGACAAGGTCTTTGGTCTGCACGACAACCCGACAACAACGCCATCAGACCATCCCATACGCCATTATTCAGTTGATGTAAACGATTGAACCTCGGAATGTCGGCCACGACAAACGCAACGGCAAGGATTGGACACGAAGGCCGCGGGGAAGAGGATGACGGATATTTGGTGATTGGAGCTTGGTGCCCACCCGAGCAGTATCGGTATTATAGCACTGTGGGGGGGTTCCGTGGTTCACAATATGGGTTGCCAGAGGGACGGCCAGGATTCGGCCGGGATGAGCAGTGTCATGGTTGTGGGACCCTTCTACTCGGATACCGGTAACTTGTATATTGGGGACATTTTTCAATCCCCGTAGCACGGCTCATGCCTTCGATATACTACTGTAGTACTCTGGCATCATCATCATAACTTATGCTCGGGTAGAAAGTAAGAAGGCGAGAACGGCTTGCTCCACTAAAGTAGATCTCGAACCTTCCTAATGTTGGGTCATCTCTTTGATTTTTATCGTTCAAATTCTAAACCCGGTAAATCCTTCGGTGGAGCCTGAAAGGAGTACCGTTGTACTCGTACTAGTACGGTGCTCGAGTGTACCCATGTTTCCCTTGGCATAGATGTCTGGGGATGATGCGCGCCGTGAAGAAGAATTTGCTGCCTGAACATTACTCGGTCGTTTATATAGCATCGGGATGCATTGGCGTTGATCGATACCAATCTTGGTTCCGGGGCGTCCGGATACTTTAGAAGCGGCCAGGTGGAGAGGAATCCTTGGCCAGCAGCACAGGGACAGGACAGATAACAGTGGAGAGACAACAGGAGGGGGGCGATTCCTTGGCAAAGGGAAAATGTCGGACGGACGATATATCATCTTCTGTCCTTCCTTCCTTCCTTCCTTTGTCCCTTTTTTTCTTCTACATTTTTATTCCTTGTGCTTCTGGTATAATACAGTGTTGCTTGGGGACGGGTGGGGGGTTGCCGTTGTCTGATAAGAGCACTTACTAGCAGTGTTGGCATGAAGGGGGGGTTGGTGATGAAGATTAACGAAGGCCTTGGAGCTCACATTTATGAACCCCCCCTTCGAAGCTCTGAAGGGGTTTAGAAAATCCATAAAAATATGCTACCATAGCTGAATCAAGACTGGGATGTTATACAACCAAAATGAAAGGGTTTAAAGAGAAAAAGGGAAAATGGAGAAAACTAATTCAGAATATATCTTTCAGTTGCCCTCAACACTTCTGCCTGCATGCCTTCATCAATACTATCACCTTCAGAAAACGCTGATATTGCCGAAAAAAGGGAAAAACATCAAGAAAGTCAGCCTTGGCGAACCCCCCCTTCAGAGGTCATTTGGTAAGCCCCCCTTCGAACCCCCCCTTGATCCCGCCAAGGCCTTCGTCGCAACATTGCTTACCGGTACTGGTAGGGTAATGACTTAGTCACGTTTGGTCACTCAGATTCAAGGAAAAAAAACTAGATTCTGGTATGGTTCCGGTAAGCAACCGACAGGCTCCAACGACAGAGCCTCACAATCACCTCTCCTCCATTTGATAATAACGACGATAACGACCGCGATAGGGCTTCACAAATCGGGTATTGGATTAGTTGCTCATCAGGCCAATATCCCATTTTTATAATGGCGCCGAACAAACGCCAGCGAAGAATAGCTGATTCAATTGCCCAGAATCCACCCGCTCCTCCCACCCATTCGCGGATTCTTGCGCCTTTCAGGGTATGCTTCACTCTTCGTCTGCAGTGCTCTGGGCAGGGGGAAAAGGGATTCTCTTACTGATGGTTGGTCACTGTAGGCAATTGGCCACATAACGTCTACTTCTGCGCCCCCAACACCGTTTTCTATCTTGCCGCTGGGAAAGACATTCCAGCTTACGACTGTCCTCTCGAATACCATACAAACCTATGACGTTCGGAGGTTGAACCTTGTATTCGCCTCATCGCCGCCTACTCCTGGGGATATCCGTCGAATCGTTGCGCATCGGGATGTGGTGTATGTCGCCTTTGAAGATCCGCTCGTTAGAGTATGGGTGTTTAAGAGGGGGAAAAAGATCGCTGAATTGGCCGTTGCGGGTGAAGGGAGGAAGAAGGTTGCCGAATGGCGGGGCTTGGTGATTTTCGGGGATTGGATTGTGGGCGTCTTGGATTGGGGAATGGTCGTCTGGAAGAGGGAGACTCGGGAGGTTTATACTGAGATTGAGATGGATAATCGGGGCGAGGTTACCGCTGCGGTGCATCCGAGCACGTATTTGAATAAAATTGTAATCGCGAGGGTGGGTGGGATGCTTGAGATTTGGAATGTGAGGACTGGGTGCGAATTGGTCCATTTCCTCTATCTTGCATTGTACTTTGCTGATGTCTTGTGATTTGTAGTAAGAAGATTTATACCATCCTGTCACCGGTAGCTTCCACGGGGGAAGAACCATTAGAAATTGGTTCTTTAGTACAGACCCCGGTTATCTCTGTGCTTGCTATCGGATTTTCGACGGGCGAGGTTCATCTTCATAATGTTCAAACCGATAAACCCCTGTTCATGCTAGGTGGTTCAGCTGGTGATATTCTTGCTGCTACTTCTCATGGTCGGAAACGAGTTACGAGCATCTCGTTCTGCACTGACCCGGTAGTCGGTGCGGGAGATTCAAGAGTACCAACTGATTCTGGTGGGAACATGCTTGCAGTTGGGCACGACGATGGCGATATCACACTGTGGAACTTGAAAAAACGTAGGATTATAGCGATTATGAGGAATGCTCATGATGGGCCGTCCGGCGGGGGCGTTATTGTTGAATGGCTGGCGGGACAGAACGTCTTAGTTACGAGCGGTGGTGATAATAGTATAAAGGTATTTTCAGGTTCCTTTTTTTATTATTTTATTTTCATTTTGGTTCTACTTCATAATATAACAATGCTTATGTTTGTGCTCATCGATTTTTTTCAGGAATGGATTTTCGATTCCCCACATACTGCGCTTCCCCGTTTATTACGCTTCCGGTCTGGGCACTCTAAACCCATAACTTCTCTAGTGTTCCTGAACCCTTCCGCTTCTCACTTTCTCCTCTCTGGTTCCCTTGATTCTACGCTCCGAGCTCATTCCATGAGAAATGATGCCCAGTCGTTTATTTTCTCTGAAAAGGCCGGAGGTAAGGAATCGAGCAAACTTTTAAGGGGTGGCGGAAAGAGCACACATTGGGCGGGTGGGGAGCCTTCGGCATCGAATCCAGTAACCTGTATAGCGACTGTAGCAGGTGAAGACGGTGCTGGAATTGCGGGAAACGCGGCCCGGGACCTGGCAGGAATAATAACGGGTCATCGGGGCTCTGAATCCGGGAGACTTTGGAGCTTTGAGAACAAGTCGTTAGGAGGGCGCTGGGCTCAGACAACTGATGGTGGACTCGTCTGGAGCGTAGCTGTGTCATCTTGCGGGACTTTCTGTTTTGTGGGTTCTAGCAATGGTGGAATAGCAATGTACAATATCCAGAGCGGGATCAAAAGGCGTCAATTCCCTGAGCCGGTAACAGCCGCGGCGGCGAAGGGTCTTAGAAATAGCACCGGGCCGGCGAAGCTGTGCATGGCTGGTGTTGGGAAACATATGAAGGCGGTTACGGGAATCTCCATTGACTCTCTAAACCGGGTCGTGATTAGCACATCACTAGATGGAAAAGTCAAGTTCTGGGACTTCAATACCGGGATTATCATCCATGAAATCAACTGGAGTAACTCTGGTGCGATTACTAAAGCCAAATTACACCGGCACTCTGATCTCCTCGCGGTTTCCTGCGATGATCTCTGCATTCGGGTGGTGGATGTTGAAACCCGTAAGACTGTGAGAGAACTTTGGGGTGCGCGAGGAAGGATAACCGACTTTTGTTTTTCGAACGATGGAAGATGGATCTTTGGCGCTTCGACTGATAGCGTTGTCAGAGTTTGGGACTTGCCAACCGGGCATATGATTGATGGTATTAGAACCAGAAGTATTGTTACTGCTATGGCGTTTGCTGGAACTGGTGAATTCCTGGCAACAGCTCATGTGGATAGCGTTGGGATAAACTTATGGTAAGGGTTATTTTCCCGCACATGTCTGTGATGAAGCTAACTGCTGACGCTGAAATAGGACAAATAGAACCTTGTTCAGACATGTTCCGACCAGGCATCTTGATGAAAAGGACATAGTGGATATGACAGCTCCGTCCGCCTCTGGAGAAGGCGGTGTCAGCGTCGTCGAAGCTGCATTTAATCCCCAGGACGATGGAGAGGATGACAGCACCGGTACATACACCACAGTAGACCAACTGAGCAGCAACATGTTGACAATGTCGCTCGTTCCAAAGACAAGATGGCAGACATTACTTAACCTCGACGTTATCAAGGTGGATTTCTCCTTCCCTCCCTATAGCTTCTGGACAAATGAACAAAGCTAACCTTCCCTTGCAGCAACGGAACAAACCAAGAGAAGCTCCCAAAGCTCCTGAAAAAGCCCCCTTTTTCCTCCCCCCGCTTGGTGCAGAATCTGATTCATTCGCGCCAGCTGCCAAGGAAGTAATCAATAGCTCTAGCGGCGCCCAATTAACTGACCCCCAATCCCTCGAAGCTGAGCGATCCCGAGTCCTCCGCATGAGTCGGAACAGCGGTGAATCCACCTTCACCAAACTCCTCCGCGAAGCGGCAGACCGCGAGGATAGAGACTATACCATCTTCCTCACCCACCTAAAAACGCTCTCGCCTTCGGCAGCGGATCTAGAAATAAGGAGCTTGCAAGTAAACGAGTTGGCACCTTTCGTGCAGGCTATGACGCAGCGGCTGAGGAGCCGGAGGGACTACGAGCTCGTGCAGACATGGGTTAACGTGTTCCTCAAGTGCCATTCCGAGGCTGTGATGGAAGGGGAGAGCGTCAGGGATGAATTGAGGAAGTGGATGGTCGAGCAGAAAAGGGAGGCGGATAGATTGGCGGAATTGGTGGGGTATTGTTCTGGGGTTGCGGGATTTTTGAGGAGTGGGAGGTGACCGTTAATATTTTTGATGGTATGATTGTGGAAAAGTTCGTTCTTGCTATTTTTTTTTGTATCATATGTGTTGGGGTGGTTTTTGCGCGGAGGTGAGGAGGCGGTTGATAGTATTATGTTGTAGATCTTGGTGGCCTCGAAGTAAAAATTTTAGATTCTAGTTGTGCGTAATTCGTCGTTGAAAGAATGTAATGATACTAGAGAGGGAGATCATCTGCGGTGGAGCAACTAACTCTCTACTAGCCCCTTTGGAGATTGTGTCATCGCTCCAACCTATTTCCGACATACGAAAGGTGGCCAAAGGTACGGTATTGAATGTCAGGAACACTCTAGCAGACCCCTGATATGAGTTATGTTCTCCCTCTACCCCCGAATGAAAATACAATGACATGGACGCCCCCACCCTCATTTTATGGGCCAAGATGCAAAAGCTCAAAGCAGAAGTTTACCCCAGTACCCAATTCGAAGTCAATGAACTCTTAATTTACATTATCTACCAAGGTGATATCTATCTCATAGGAAAACATCATCTCAGCTTCTTGTCTCTTGACCTCCGAGTCCGCGAACATGTAGTAAGAAGTAAAAGGGTTCGTAACAGCTGATAGGTAGAGGAGCCAGATACACAGGAGTCAAAACTGCAAACAGCTCCGACACAAGTAATCAAGTAGAAGGAAAGCCGAAATACAACCTGTACTAACAATAAAAATGGGAAGCAACAAAGAGGAACAAAAGTCAACATCAATCAACCATTGGCTCCATTAACGAGTGCAGAAGAAAAAAACAAAAAAAAAAAACAAAGCTCTTGTGATCCTATCGATCTACCGTAAGAACTCGAATAATTGAACCTGGAGCTAGGACGTCGGTGTTGCCTCTGCTGGTATGGTGCGGTGTTTTTTTACTTTTGTTTTATCTCAGGCAGGGGCTCGGGGAGTCGGTTTTCGCTGTGCTCTCGGGCCCCTATCCAGGAGAGGGAATTCTGAACGTTCTAGCGCGAGGTTCAATTATTCCAGTTCTTACGGTATTGCATCTCACCTTTTATTTTTTCAAGAAAGATAGCATGTCTCTGCAAACGAAATCCCCTATCACTGTTCTCCCAACAAGTTGCGTGTTAGAGAAGTCCTTCAAAGTACTTAAACGCAACTTTGTTCTCCTGCTTGCTATCGAGAAAAGAACTCACAACCACATATCACCTGCATACTTATCCATTATTCTGAAGAATACTTAGGAGCAGCCTTCTTGCATAGGTCCTCCCTACCAGGTCTGTTCCAACAACTGCGCGTTCATCGGGGGTGGCATTTATTGTCCACCGTATCAGACTCTCAAAGTCCTGTTGATTTTGCCACTTTTTGTAATCATTGAAGACTACTGTTGCTTGGTGATTTAGGGCAGTAATCATATACAGTCGCACCTCGCTATCCCGGATGGCCAAAATCCGAGGAATTTGTCCGGTACAGCGAGGGATCCGGTACAGCAGGTGAGGTTTTGGTGGAAGGAAACCTAGAGTTCACCGAGATTCATACGGGACAGCGAGGTATCCGGATTATCGAGATCCGGGATAGCGAGGTGTGACTGTGCTCGTGCTCTGAAGCCATAGTTAGTGAGAAATTATAGTACGTTATTCAAACAATGAGCAAAGATCTGTTAGCCTACCGGTCACCCTGGCTGCCACCTCCCAGCTTGTACTATATAGCAAGATAAAGGTGTTTTCGTAGGTGATAAATCCATTTTACAATAGGCAGATATCGGTAAGCACGTCACTAGCATGCGCTGTCTCATTTCCATCCCGAATTGCAGAGTCAATTCCAACTCCCTGCAGCCCCTCCTTCTGGCAGAAGAAAGCAAAAAGCGTGATCGGATATCAATCACTGCAGTCTTCAGAGGGTGTAAGATGGTAACCTCTTTGCATGATTACTTGGTCTCCTCTCGTAATTGCTTGGTCTCCTCGCTTAATTCCTAGACAATGCTTTCCGTCCGCAGAACTGATTGTAGAAGCCAACACCCAACATTATTTGTGTATGCACTTTGTGGAGCACTATACGACCCTACTTGGCCCCATGATATGATAGGCGCTACTGCTACTAAAATTTGCTCTGCCATTTCTAGTATTCGTTACAGGGCAGGGCAGGGTGGGTTTCTACAAGTTCTCCCCACCCCATTACGGCCACGGGGCACTGCCAAACTCCCTCCTCCCCTCCCCGCCCCCCACACGGGGGCTACTGGGTGACCCCAATTGTGCCCCCAGCCATATAGTGTGGTGGAAGCAGTAGCGGGGCCCCGTACAGGGGGTAGCCAGGGCGGGGGGGCTGTATCGGGCCGGGGGGGAATGGAGGAGAAAATTGGCCCTGCCCGGGGCCAAACGTCGGGGCCCCGGAGGCCCCATAATGAACTCTAGCCATTTCCAGGTTATCTGTTCCAGGAGGACCCTCCTGCACATTACCATACACAATCGGGGTGTCATCTAGAAGATATCTATGTAATTAGCCTTGAATACGGTGTTTCGCAATTCTGTGGTGAACATACCACTCTGGTTGGGGTTCCTGTCAGGTAATGAATGGGGGGGGTACTGTTCTGGGGATGAATATTGAAGAAGGGGAGCAGCGGAAACAAGTATAGGCTCGGGACTAAATAAAAAAGGTTTTCTGAAGAAAGAATATGTTTGGTAACTCAATTCAACTCTAGCACATTAGAGGGAAGCAACATTAAGAACGTTTGGCCTTGTTATGAAGGAAGACAGCTATCGTCCGACTATGGATATTGAGGAGGAACGGGTATGAGGGGAGAAAAGATGGGGGACTCAGACAGAGAATAAAGGAGTTTTAGTGGAAGAATGAGCGAGAGAAGGTCAGCTTTGGTGGCCTTAGAAAGGGCAGGCTAACCACGTGGCATTGTGAAGGTACAGTACGAAGGGGGTCGGGGAAAGTCTGGCGAACGTGGCGGTGCATGTGGCGGCACACTTGCCCCGTGATTGATCCTGTATCTACAATATAACCAGTAACTGAGTGGTTTTCATTTCCGAGTCATGATATGCTTCAACTTGAGTAGTATTGGGCAATTTTCATGATGGTGTGTTATGGTCAAATAACTACGTCAACCACTCTTCCGGGACAGAGACATCGCCACATGCACCGCCGCGTTCGCCAGACTTTTTTTTTTTTGTAAAACTTTTCGCTTGTATATACTCCGTATTCTCTACATCTCACGAATACTAAGACTAACGGGCTTTCTGTGACAATATAAGCCGTCTGCCCTAACACACCAAATACCGTCCCCAAAGAAATCAAAAAACCCCTTCAAAGAATGACACCCTAATCACCCCCCTCCATCTTCCCCCGAAGAATCTGTCTCCCACACATCCATCCCCGCCACATCATCCGCCGGCCCGCAAAACGTCGTCAAATCCACCGAAACCATCTTCAACATCTTCTCCACCCTTGCCAACCACTCAACCAATTTAAAACTGGTCGGCCCATTCCCCTCACCCAACCTCCTACGGAGGTACAGCCGGTATCATAAGTTTTCTATATTTTACTAGCAGGGGTGTTGCACTGGTCCAAGGTGAACGGCTGAATTAGGTAGCGACGATACCCAATTAGCTGCAACCATACCCAATTCACTCCCTCACCCCCAGCTAGCCGAACACCCCCTGCTAGTAAAATATACAAAACTTACCGGCTGTACCTCCGTACGGTAATCTCCCTCCTCACCTTCGACCACTCCGTCTCCCTGCGCACCGGCCGAAATCCAGTAAACCGCCGAACCGAACACCACCTACCCCTCACCCACGTCCCTGTCCGGAACAACAGATCCACCAATCCCGACCCCCGCACCATAGCCACCACCGTAGAGGACGTCTTACCCAACCCCTTCCTCCGTTCCACCTCCTTCTCACTTACCAACCACCGGGATCCCACACACATCACGTTCCCCACGTTCGCGTTCCCCACGTTCGCCAGACTTTCTCCGACCCCCTTCGTACTTAGGGTGTGCGCAAAAGTCTGTCGAACTCTGGTCTGGTTGGCTGAATTTAGGTGTGTGCAACACGAGTTATGCAACTGAACAGGCCATAGATGCTAATTTTTGGTGAAGGAGAAAAGTCTGTTGAACTCTTGGCACAGTGGCTCACGCAAGGCTGGAGCAAATACTGTTCCCTAAGTGGTTGAGAAGGCCCCGGAGCCAATTAGAGTGAGTTCGACAGACTTACCCACAACTCCCGGGACACCAGGTGAATTTTCGGGAGCGGTGGCCTTCTTCCCCGCTAAACATATCTTGGTGAATCCTGGTAGGGACAATGCGCCAAGGCCTAGCTTGTGGCAATATGTATAAACCAGGCCCAATCCTCCGACTCGCAAACCCCCACCTCCCTCACTGAATCCTCTGCTCAAAGCAACCCACCGCTACAGGAAAGAAAAAACACCACTATGCCACCGAAAAAAGCACCTGCCGGTATGCTATTGGAAGAGATGAGGCTTGATCAGCTGAAAGCTGCAGAACTCAAATTATTGTGTGTTGAAAGGAGGATACCGACAGGCACATAGAGTTCGTTACGGGGCCACCGGGGCCCCGAAAACTGCAGGTCCCTGCCCCTGTTCCCCGCCCTGCCCTGGCGTTTGGCCTGGGGTGGGGCCTATTTTCTCCTCCATTCCCCCCCGGGCCCAATACGGCCCCCTGCCCTGGTCACCCCCTGTACGGGGCCCTGCCACTGCTCCCACCAGATTATATGGCTGGGAGCACAATTGGGGTTACCCAGTAGCCCCCATGCGGGGGGTGGGGTGGGGAGTAGGGAGTTTGGCGGTACCCTGTGGCCGTAACGGGGCGGGGAGAACTTGCGGAAACCTGCCCCGCCCTGTTCCGTAACGAATACTACAGGCACGAGGGGAGTGATCATAGAGAGTCTTCAGGACTACATGAGAATGCAGGTGAGCACGCCAAGCGGAGAGGAGGTAGCATTGCCAACGCCCATCAGTATGTGGAATGATAACGATGACGAATGCAAAGCTGTTATCGTTACGACCACAGAAATAGCTGAAGATGCTGTTATGATTTCCAATGCGAAAAAGCGATTAATGTTGTGTTGGAAGGCGATGAAATATCCGTCGAATATAACCCAAACCCAGTGGTTAGAAACTGATGTGGCCCCTCTCTTGCTACTCTTCCCCAGAA